AAGCGTGAGCTGTTATTTTACATACTTAATTATGTGCACAAATAAGTATACGTCTGTATACATTCAAATCACAAATTGTGCATGCTCAATAATTTCATGGAAGGTGCAATTACTGTAGAAGGATTCTAAGGGATGGAAGCATACTTGTGTGTATGATATTGCCGAGTGGCCATTAATATGAAAAGGGTCGTTTTTTTTATCTTCCAGACTCAGTGGAGGGAGGCAGAAGAGAGGAGGGAGGAGGATCAAGATCGGTGGTTGACAGAGAGTTTGTGGTAGACATGTTTGGGAGCAACTTCTACACCTCAGAGGAGGCAGCTCAGCAGCAGCAGGGCCGACTGGAGGTTAGTTACTAGTGGCGACAGTGTGCTGCATGCCTAACTGCCACAGAGAGGTGATCCCTTACCTCTGCTCTCTATCATAACCCACAGCGTCACGACTCCAGGACTCGTGGCATGGAACCCAGTGAGTACCTGCACTATGGCCAATGCAGACAAGTCAGTTTCGGTGAGTCGAACAAAACCTATCAGTGAATGGGCAGAGATAAGATTAGTAAAACCCTGAAGTTTTGACCTATCAGTGAATGGGCAGAGATAAGATTAAACCTGTGAGTAAAACCCTGAAGTTTTGACCTATCAGTGAATGGGCAGAGATAAGATTAAACCTGTGAGTAAAACCCTGAAGTTTTGACCTATCAGTGAACGGGCAGAGATAAGATTAAACCTGTGAGTAAAACCCTGACATTTAGAGCTATCAGTGAACGGGCAGAGATAAGATTAAACCTGTGAGTAAAACCCTGACATTTAGAGCTATCAGTGAACGGGCAGAGATAATCAATCTGTTTAAGTGCTCTCCGGCAAATTTCCTACTGCCTCTAAAGAGAGCACGTCAAATGCTAGCCGACAGGGATGTACAGATACTCGAACTCCCAGTCTGCGACCAGGCTAATGTCTTTAGAGATTACGACGTTGCTACTCTTACACACACCTCCAAATAGAGTGCACCGAAAGCAAGCTAGCAGGGATGTAGTTATGGATGTGGACATACATGACCTTCCAGTCTGCAAGCAGGCTAATGTCTCACAGATTAGGATGTTGCTGGTCTTACGTAATGTTGTTGTCATGTTTGCAGTCAAGAATTTGGCTCGGTTCCGCAAGTGGCTGGACCTGGAGGCCACTCTGGATGGCCACACTCTAGCCCATGATGTCATCGAGATACTGGGCTATCTCGCCTACGACACTGTTAGAGAGGTAACATTCGTGCATTATTACGCGAATTAGTTACACATACTGATAGAAGAATTGTTTATTGAAGAACACGTGTTGTTAAGTTTTTGTTATTGTGTGCAATAAGTATGATTATGCCACACTTTGTACATGTCCGTAAAGAAGTTGTTTCGTTAAGGGAATGTGGCAGTGGATATACGATAAGGCCAAGCACAAGAGTGCAATTATTTTTCAATACTACTGCCACATTCAATCACTTTAAAGCCCATTCTGATTCTTTGGGGAGTCTAGAATACAGCCGTCTCTCCGTATAGCGTTGGTAAAGTTTTTGCAGGTGAATAGTGCAATACTTGTGTAGCAGGGGAGCTCCCTGGAGGCAATACTTCAACGTTACAATATTATGTAATGCTGCCCGTCCCTCAGCTGGTGGAGCTGTCACTGCTGGTAAAACAGGACATGGAGAAAACCCGCCACAGCATCTCTCCCCTCCTCCTCCCCGCCTCCTCCTCACACCCGCCCTCCCTCACCCCTCACTCGTCCCACAAGAGCCACGACCAACAGCCACTCAGTGAGTTATACTTTCTTCAATCATTAACACTCGACGGGCATGCGCAGCGTGGGTTATTGGCAAACAGGTGCGAGCTAACCTAGTCGTCCGAATGGCATCATTTTCTATTTATTTGTACGTAGTCTTCGTAAAGTTCTCGGTATCTTAACAATAAGCCTAAAAAGACTAGCAAAACATTATTTACCTACTGGATGACTATTTATTCCACATAATTATAGTCTGTCACACATTCTTACAGTGTCTGTAGTAGCTAAAACATGAACACGCTACTTGACATAGAGTACCATTAACTCAACTGGAGAGTCTTCCCCACCCTCCATCGACACAGTCTGGCCTCTATAGGGTCAGAGGTGGGGCTGGGGAGTGTCTTAGTGAAGTATGGAGGATTTTTGAATGAGCAACAGCTACTGCTGCTACTGCAACCATAACCCTCCCAGAGAGGATCTTCCTGGTAGAATTTCAGTATAGCTGCCCCTGAGTTGACTCCAGATTCACAGAAATAGTCTCCACCCACAAATGGTGGGACTGTAATGTTGATGCTAGCATCACAAGGACATACATCATTCCGAGAGGGTGTGGCCTCAGAAAAACCAGCAGCAAATGTCCATATGTGTTGTCGTGGACTGCCATGTGTGAGACTGACACCAGCAACATAGGCTCCTTCTATTGTGGTCACCTCTCCATCGTCATAGGCCTCAAACCCATCCATTCCACCATACTGGTAGGCTCTAATAAACCCACACACACTAGTGTAGTCTCCTCCACTGACAGAGAAGAAGACTGAGTCACATGACGGGCCAGTGCTGCTAGCTTTACCACAGGTTCTCTTGGAGTGACTAGTGAGCTGCCAGCCAGAGGGGACAGTTGGTGTTGGGGTCTGTCATGTTCAGGTAGACCACACCTCTCCAACCTCCTGTACCTCCACAAATATTCGGTCCAAGAGATAAATGAAGAAGCTGTTTTGCCTCCTGTAGTTCAGACATAAGTTTCTCACTAATGTCTTCTTGTTTTGCTTCAACAGCAGCCAAACCTTCCCTCATTTCAGTCATGAATGGACTCAGTGTCTCATGTACTGCTGCAGCTAGCCTCACAACTGAGAGATGTAGAACATTTTACTGTCTCGCGTTATTTCCATCATGCAATTCTCACCATCGCATTGACAAGTTCCAATCTGCAGTAGAGAGAAGATAAATCCTGCCACCACAACCACCCAGAGACTCTTCATTCTTTCATCCATATAGGCCATACAGAGCTACAGAGATACAGCTTTATGCTTAACCAAATTGGAGTTGTCACCATAACCATCTCATTGTGTTTTAGTTTTCACCATGTGACTATAAACAGATCTTTGCTATTTTCGTAACAGATATAATTATATATCATGCTATTATACACAATGCAATACACTTCAGGTGAAGTACAATACCCTCAACTGTTTTCCTTTTCGGGTTTCGATTTAGGGATAGGCCTCACAATCACAACGCCTCCTGTGGGTTGAACTTGTCAGATAGCTACTGACCGATGTGCTGCATTGTTACCAGTTGAGCTACCCAAAGAGAAAGTTGAACTTTTAATGATTACACTTATTACATTCAGCATCATTCCAGTCTTTGATCTTATTGACCCTTTCCCCTTCCCCCAAGCAGGCACCACATCCCCGTGTACATGTACTGTTGGCCCTGTCCATATATCTCTTGGTGTGTGGTCTATGCTATTCTATGGTTGCTATTATACCTGTAAAATGTTGATTGAGAGAATCTGGAAGACAGAAATGATGACAGCACTGTGTTCTAAGTCATTCAGAATGTGGGCATGACATGAGGATGACCTATGTATCAGTAGTTGGTGGTAGCTATGCAGTGAAGGTGTAGCTTAGGTATTGCGGTTCAAATGATATTTATGAAAGCTCTGTTATCGCTATAACCATGAGCCCAATGAGTGGCGATGTGTTTCTCAGCAATTAGCTACTGACTACACCTTGTTCCCCATGCACCACCAGTGTCTGCAATGTTGCAGCTCCAAGGATATACTTGTGGATTTAGAACTGCTGTGGTAAAGGAAAGACATGTCCAGTTTTCTTGTTGGGCACACTGTGGAGGTGCAACTAGACGTTGAGTCTTTCTTTGCTCCAAATGTGTACTTACTGATAAACCTAGCATGTGGTGTAGCTTTGTGCTTGGATATAAGACTTCACTTCTTCCCTCCCTCTTAAGCATGGACTAGAAGTGGAGCCGCCTTAACTACACATGTTAGTATTCAAGTTGTCTGCATCCAGGGCACTACTTAGGGCTCTGATTTCCTAACCAAGGCAACACGTCTTATCGGCTTCGCCTACAGTCCAGCAATTGAAATACTAGCTCGCAATCCTGTTCCAGTGCCAATAATAGTTACCGCCACCTAGGATAGGACAGTTACGTACCTCTAAACTCAAAGTCTGATATACCAGTTTAGTGCTACAATAACAACATAATAGTTTTTCACGTCATAGTCTTAGCTCAGTGTCACTACTTGACGTAGAGTTCAATGAACTCACTGGAGTATCATCAATACTCTCCCATCGACACAGTCTGGCCTCTATATGCGGTCAGAGAGTGGGGCTGGAGGAGTGTCTGATGTGAAGTATGAGGATTGTGAACGAGCAACAGCTACTGCTGCGTAACCAACCACAGTCTTCACCATCCCAGAGAGGATCATCTGGATGAAAACCAACAATTAGTCCTGAGTTGGCTCCAGATTCACAGAAATAGTTTCGACCCACAAATGGTGGGATGGCAATATTAATACTAGCATCACAAGGACAGGCATCTTCCCAATTGGGTAGAGCCTCAGCATCTGCCAGCAGCAAATGTCAGATGTGTTGTCGTGGACTATCATGTGTGAGACTGACACCAGCAACATAGGCTCCTTCTATTGTGGTCACTTCTTCTCCTCTCCATCATGATAGGCCTCAAATGCCATCAATGTGATCTTTGCTGTAGGCTCTGATAGAGCCACACACACACTAGTGTAGTCTCTACCACTGACAGAGAAGAAGAGCTGAGCTCACAGAGAGACTGCTGTGTTACGTTTACCACATGTTGTCTGGAGTAGCTAGTGAGTGCCAGCACAGAGGGACAGTGGTGTTGGGGTCTAGTCATGCCAGGAGACCACACGTCTCCAACCTCCTGTACCTCCACATTCGTAGTATCTCAAAACTTCTCTTCCCTTGGACAGTCTGTGTCACAATAAGCCTACACTCTTCTACACGTGCTTGAACAGTTCTGTTTCCACGGTGTATCACATTATTTGTGTACACTCTTCTACTGCTCGCCTTGCCAACAGTAAGTGTTTACAATGCATGTACAATTCGTCTTGCTATTAACCTTACACTCTTCCAGTGGTTGTCTTGAACAGTTCTGCCCACCACCAACCATACATTCCTGTAGTCCGACTATCACACTGTCACAGAGCTACTGATATGCTCCAGACCTTCATTGATGTGGCTCACTTGTCCAGAGATGCTAGTATTGACTGACACTAGTGTCTCCAGTACATCTTCACTTGAGAATGTCTCAAACTCGACTCTCTCTGGTCCAGTGCTGTTCTTTGAAATCTGATTTTCAATTTTCCTTAGTTCGTTCCGGATGCCAGCGTCCACTAGTGTCAGTTGGGATTGAATTGAAGTCACATGATTCTCAGCTGACTGCCTTAGTTCCTTCGTATTGTTGTTGAGGACTTTTAACTGGAGTTCGATGGTGTTTTGGTTATTCACGACTACATCAAATTCACCAGCAATAGAGGACAAAATATCTGCTCCAACTGCAGTACAGTTCTTGGTAATCTGTCCTTCAATTTTCCGTAGTTCATTCCTGATACCAGCATCCACTGAAGCCAGTCCAGATGCCAGTGTAGATTCAAATGAGGTCACATGATATTCAGCTGACATCTCTAGCTTCTTTGTGATGTTACTCAGAACCCTTAGTTGCAGCTCATCCTGGCTATTAAGGAGAGTTTGTAACAGGTCATATGTGTGTGGTATATAGTCAGCAGTCTTCTTCAGTTCCTTTGTAACATTGGTCAGTACATTTCGCTCCAGTTCAGAGTGCACAGTCGTCACTGTCATACTGAGACCATCTTGTTTGAAGTCCAGAGAGTCTAACTTGGAGTCAATGGTCTCCTGGTTGGTCTCCAGTCCTGCTAGCTCTGAGGCTGTCTGGTTGTTGTGTTCTTGAAGTTCAGTCTTAACTGCCGAGAGTCCTTCACTCACACTAGTATTGACTGCCGAGAGTCCTTCACTCATACTAGTATTGACTGCCGAGAGTCCTTCACTCACACTAGTATTGACTGCCGAGAGTCCTTCACTCATACTAGTATTGACTGCTGAGAGTCCTTCACTCATACTAGTATTGACTGCCGAGAGTCCTTCACTCATACTAGTATTGACTGCCGAGAGTCCTTCACTCATACTAGTATTGACTGCTGAGAGTCCTTCACTCATACTAGTATTGACTGCCGAGAGTCCTTCACTCATACTAGTATTGACTGCCGAGAGTCCTTCAATCATACTAGTATTGACTGCCGAGAGTCCTTCACTCATACTAGTATTGACTGCCGAGAGTCCTTCACTCATACTAGTATTGACTGCCGAGAGTCCTTCAATCATACTAGTATTGACTGCCGAGAGTCCTTCATTCATACTAGTATTGACTGCCGAGAGTCCTTCACTCATACTAGTATTGACTGCCGAGAGTCCTTCACTCATACTAGTATTGACTGAGATCAGTAGAGACTGAACTTCTCTTAGTTCAGTCTTAACAAAAGCTAATTCTTGTTTCATTTCAGTCTTAACAGCAGCAAGACTCTCCCTCATTTCAGTCATGAATGGACTCAGTGTCTCATGTACTGCTGCAGCTAGCCTCACAACTAGTGATGTACATAGAACCTCTATAATAAAGCTATGTTACTTACGAATTTCTCACCATCGCATTGGGAAGCTCCAGTCTGCAAGAGAGAGAATGTAAATGCTGCCACCACAACCAACTGGAGATTCCTCATCCTTCCACTTTAGCAGTATTCTTTACCTAGTGTTTACAACTGAAATAAAGACTGCACCTTTGTTTGGTTATACTGCCATAAACAAACTCTGGAAGCGATGCCAGCATGATTACACTTCAGTCTACCTATATACCCTGCCCTTGTCTATCTGTAGTTGGCTTTGTTTGTCACCAGGCTCTGCGCTATAAACTTGGTTTGTGTGCCTGTCTGCACATACAGCAATATTGCAGCTCAAAATTATAATACTTACGGCTTTAGTACTTGGTGGTAAAGGGAAGACCCATATGTCCAGTTTCCTTGTTTCACACTGAGATTTGTGAGTTGATCCCTACTAGAGCTATTGCAACGCTTTCTTGGCGAGCAAACCCGAGATTCATGCGAACGGGTACACGATTGCGAATTTTTGATTCTGTTTTGCCTGTTTGGAGTTACGTAAAACATTATGAGACAATGCCTTTCTCGTCATTGGATATGTATATACCTATGTACAGAAAACCACACATTCGGACGAAGTTTAGACTCACTTTTCCCGCTATGCTAACCCTACATTCTGGGGGGGTGGTTGCCTTCCTATTTCCCCCTGAACTGTGACTCCTGTACTTCACTCTATATTTCCCAAAGAACCAATTTGCCCCCCGAAAAATTTTCTACAAAAATCTGTTGGTGATGAAATGTCAGATTTTAAAATTAACTCGCTCTAGCTTGTCAGTCATTTCGTCGAGACTGCTTGATTAGGTCACCCTACTTTCCAAACAAGCATGGGCTAAACGTGGAGCCGTTTAAACATGTACACATCATCCAGGGCACTACTTAGGGCTCTGATTGCCTAAACAAGGTAACACGTTTTATCTGCTTCGTCTACAGTCCAGCAATTTAAATACTAGCTCGCAATCCTGCTCCAGCGCCAATAATAGTTACTGCCACTGAGGATAAGACAGTTATGTACCTAAACTCAGTCTTATGTATAAACCTTGAGCAGTTGAGTGCTACAATAATGAAAAGCACTGAAGTGCAAACCCTCGGCGCACGGTGACGCGTACGCGTAAGTGCACGCATGCGCAGTACAACTAATTGATGGGCTGGGTTTAGTTTTAGCTGTTACTCGTGGTCTCTTGCCAGCTCGCGCAGAGTCTGACGCGGGCTAACTACACTACTAGATAGCATGCGAGAGGCGATACACGCCCTGCGTTGCATCTTCTGGTGCCTCCGAGGTACGCAGAGCACGCGGATCGATCAGACCGTGGTAAGCCATCCCGTCCGTTGTGTATTTGCATATTGCCTTTTTGGCGCTGTAGCTCTGCAACGGAGCATTTTCAGAGAAAACCCCACATTTTTTCTGATCTTCGTTGCCCGTTAAGCAGGTCGTATCCTTTGTGAGACGAACAGACACTCGAGAAGTGAGATTGAGAGTAACAGACACACACAGACAGACAGACAAACCCAACTACAGTAACCCTCGCTGCGCATGCGCGCCGAGGGTTAACTACACAACTACACAGAGTCCATCACTTCATAGTCTCAGTGTCACTACTTGACATATAGTTCCATAAATTCAACTGGAGTATCTTCCCCACCTTCCCATCGACAAAGTCTGGCCTCTATAGGGTCAGAGGTGGGGCTGGGGAATGTCTTAATGAAGTGTGGAGGATTGTTGAATGAGCAACAGCTACTGCTGCTACCACAGCCTTCACCATCCCAGAGAGGATCATCTGGATAGATAACCAGGATTCCCTGAGTCGACTCCAGATTCACAGAAATAGTCTCCACCCACAAATGATGGAATGGTGACACTAGCACCATTGCAAGGACATCCTTCAGCATTAGTGTGAGTCTCGGTATGGGCTGCTGCAATTGTCCAGATGTGTTGTCGTGGACTGCCATGTGTGAGACTGACACCAGCAACGTAGGCCCCTTCTATTGTGGTCACTTGTCTACGATGGTAGGCCTCAAATCCATCAATGTGACCATACTGGTAGGCTGTGATAGAGCCACACACACTAGTGTAGTCTCCTCCACTGACAGAGAAGAAGACTGAGTCACAGGAGAGACTGCTGGTGTTAACTTTACCACAGGTTGTCTTGGAGTGACTAGTGAGCTGCCAGCCAGAGGGACAGTTGATGTTGGGGTCTGTCATGTTCAGGAAGACCACACGTCTCCAACCTCCTGTACCTCCACATTCAAACAGGGGTATGGGTCCAAGTATATAGTCAGCCGTTTTCTTCAGTTCCTTTGTAACATTGGTCAGTAGATTCTGTTCAAGTTCCTTGGCCACAGTCTCAGTGAGGGAGTTTATCTGCTCCTGGACACTGGTCATGTTTTCTTTAACAGCAGCCAGACCTTCCCTCATTTCAGTCAGCCAGACCATCCCTCATTTCAGTCTTAACAGCAGCCAAACCATCCCTGATTTCAGTCTTAACAGCAGTCAGGCCTTCCCTCATTTCAGTCGTGAATGGACTCAGTGTCTCATATACTGCTGCAGCTAGCCTCACAACTGAGAAATATAGAACATTTTACTGTCTCGCGTTATTTCCATCATGCAATTCTCACCATCACATTGACAAGTTCCAATCTGCAGTAGAGAGAAGATAAATCCTGGCACCAAAACTATCTGGAGACTCTTCATTCTTTCATCCATAGTCCATACAGAGCTACAGAGATATAGCTTTATGCTTAACTTTATAACCAAATGGGAGTTTTCACCATAACCATCTCATTGTGTTTTTCACCATGTGACTATAAACAGATCTTCTCTATTTTCGTAACCTATTATCCACAATGCAATACACGTCAGGTGAAGTACATACAATACCCTCAGTTGTTTGTCTCTCAGTTTTCGTGTTAGGGATAGACCTCACAATCACAACACCTCCTGTGGGTTGAACTTGTCAGATACTGACCGATGTGATGCATTGTTACCAGTTGAGCTACCCAAAGAGAAAGTTGGAACTTTTAATGATTACACCTATTACATTCAGCATCATTCCAGTCTTTGATCTTATTGACCCTTTCCCCTTCCCCCAAGCAGACACCACCTCCCCGTGTACATGTACTGTTGGCCCTGTCCATATGTTGCAGCTCAAAGGATACGTGTGGCTTTAGTACTGCTGTGGTAAAGGAAAGACCCATAATATGTCCAGTTTTCTTGTTGGGCACACTGTGGAGGTGCAACTAGATGTCGAGTCTCGAACTCCTCCAAATGCGTACTTACTGATAAACATAGCTAGCATGTGGATTGCCCCCTGAACTGTGACTCGAATCGATAATTAAGCGAGATCAATGCCGTCTGGGTTAAATTGTACCCTAAAGAACCAATTTGCCCCCCCCTGAAAAGATTTCTTCAAAACAATGTTGGGGATAAAAATTATTGGACTTCAAAATTAACTGACTCTGGCTTGTCAGTCATTCTGTTGAGACCACCTAATCAGCTCACTTCACTTGCCAAGGAAGCGTGGGCTAGAAGTGGAGCCGAGCCTCTTAGTAAACCGAGCTCCCTGAGGTGTCTGTGTCCATTGCGGTGAGGGCACTACTAAGGGCTCCAGTTTCCTATACATAGTAACCGAGGCAACACGTATTATCTGCTTCGTCTGCAGTTCAGCAATTGAAATACTAGCTCGCAATCCTACTCCGATGATAGTTACCGAATAGTTACATACGTACTCTAAACTCCGAAGTCTAATATACCAGTTGAGTGCTACAATAACTACACAACTACACAGAGTCCTTCACTTCATAGTGTCAGTGTCTCTACTTGATATAGAGTTCCATGAACTCAACTGGAGTATCTTCACCATATTCCCATCGACAAAGTCTGGCCTCTATAGGATCAGAGGTGGGGCTGGGGAGTGTCTTAGTGAAGTATGGAGGATTGTTGAATGAGCAACAGCTACTGCTGTTACCACAGCCTTCACCATCCCAGAGAGGATCATCTGGATAGAAGGTTTGATAACCAGGATTCCCTGAGTTGACTCCTGATTCACAGAAATAGTCTCCACCCACAAATGGTGGAATGTTTACACTAGCACCATGCAAGGACATCCTTCATCATTAGTGTGAGTCTCGGTACGGGCTGCTGCAAATGTCCAGATGTGTTGTCGTGGACTGCCATGTGTGAGACTGACACCAGAAACATAGGCTCCTTCTATTGTGGTCACATGTCCATCGTCATAGGCCTCAAATCCATCAATTCCACCATACTGGTAGGCTCTGATAGAGCTACACACACTAGTGTAGTCTCCTCCACTGACAGAGAAGAAGACTGAGTCACAAGAGAGAATGCTGGTGTTAACTCTACCACAGGTTGTCTTGGAATGACTAGTGAGATTCCAGCCAGAGGGACAGTTGGTGTTGGGGTCTGTCATGTTCAGGTAGACCAGACGTCTCCAACCTCCTGTACCTCCACACTCATACACATGCTCAAGTATATAGTCAGCAGCCTTCTTCAGTTCCTTTGTAACATTGGTCAGTAGATTCTGTTCAAGTTCCTTGGCCACAGTCTCAGTGAGGGAGTTTATCTGCTCATGGACACTGGTCATGTTTTCTTTAACAGCAGCCAAACCATCCCTCATTTCAGTCTTAACAGCAGCCAGACCATCCCTCATTTCAGTCTTAACAGCAGCCAAACCATCCCTGATTTCAGTCTTAACAGCAGCCATGCCTTCCCTCATTTCAGTCGTGAATGGACTCAGTGTCTCATGTACTGCTGCAGCTAGCCTCACAACTGAGAGATGAACATTTTGACTGTCTCGCATTATTTCCATCATGCAATATTTCTCACCATCACATTGACAAGTTCCAATCTGCAGTAGAGAGAAGATAAATCCTGCCACCAAAACTACCTGGAGACTCTTCATTCTCTCTCACATAATGGATACAGAGCTACAGAAACACAGCTTTATGCCCAAATTGGAGTTGTCACCATAACCATCGCATTGTGTTATTCACCATGTGACTATAAACTGATCTTTGCCATTTTCATAATGGATATAAATGTATTATACACAATGCAAAACACTTCAGGAGAAATGCAACACCCTCAGTTGTTTGTCTCCTCAGTTTTCGATTTAGGGATAGACCTCACAATCACAACACCTCCTGTGGGTTGAACTTGTCAGATAGCTACTGACCGATGTGATACCAGTTGAGCTATATACCCAAAGAGAAAGTTGAACTTTTAATGATTACACTCATCGTTCCAGGCTTTGATCTTATTGACCCTTTCCCCCAAATAGACACCACATCCCCGTATATGTGTACTGTTTGCCCTGTCCATATATCTCTTGGTGTGTGGTCTATGCTATTCTATGGTTGCTATTATACCTGTAAAATGTTGATTGAGAGAATCAGGAGGACAGAAATGATGACAGCACTGTGTTCTAGGTCATTCAGAATGTGAGGATGGCCTTTCAGTAGTTGGTGGTAGCTATGCAGTGAAGGTGTAGCTTAGGTATTGTGGTTCAAATGATATTATGAAAGCTCTGTTATCGCTATAACCATGAGCCCAATGAGTGGGCAATGTGTTTCTCAGCAATTATCTAATAGCTACAACTTGTTCCCCATGCACCACCAGTGTCTCCTGCAAGTCAGGGGTCTGAGACTGTCGGAGAAACAGCTCTCTCTACTGCTACTACCAGAGCTTCTCGCAGCCGCAAGAGAAAGGTGACTTACCATTATGTGGCTTTTATAGTGAGGAGACAGTCTCCTTTCAAGATCTAAGGTTACTTCTGGAGTCAATAAACTTGCATACAATCAAGATTGCCGTACTCTGCAACTTGTCTCTCATTCTCCACCCCCAGGGTGTGTCAGGAGATGGGCCAGCTGATCCTAACCCTCCAGATGAGTCTGGACAGGTCCAGAGTCAGAACGGACTGGGGACGGGGGATGGTGGGCGTGGCATCCAGCCATCTCACATCAGAGAGGCACTTAGGAGACTGAGTGTTCCTTCAGGTCCCCTCCTGCCCCTGGCGGTTAGTGCTATTATGGGTCTACACAGTGAAAATAACACAAGTGCATGGCCTTGCTTGCCATCATCATACACATTGCACGGGGTGGGGTTGATAGTATTGGCCGCATTAAACCAAGAAAAGTGTGAGAGAGAAAACCAATATGACACCTGTGGGGTGTGAATCTTGCACAGTGCACTATCCCCACTGAATCTAGGTTGTCAGTATTCCCAACGCACGAATGTGCTTGTCGTAAGGCAACATGATGATATTCACTCCAACCCCTGTCTTTTCCCAGACACATCTCCACAGGCCAAGCTACACACAGAAAACTCTCTGTCTCTAAAATGGACTCGCGGGGACATTATTATTTTCACCTGTAGTGTAAATTCATCTCGTATGATACAGAGGTAGAGACTTCATAGCATATACCTCCGCCCTCCTGATAACACTGTATCTGCTAATTTCTGACTCTGTGTCGATCTATACTTGTCAATGTAATGTGTGCTGTGGTCTGTGCACACTGCTACTCACTGCTAGCCTCTCCTTATTATGGATTCTTTGCTGCCCAATAAACCCTTTGCGAACAAACAAAAAAGCCATTACTACACAACACGTGTTTATAAAACTGTCATGCACAGCATGGTAGGTGTAGGTCATAATCTTAGCCTATCCTTCTAGAAATAATAATTGATGTTGTTGCTTAGCTCATTACCTGCATCAAAGCAAAACATGATCAGAGAGGCAATCAGAAATCTGCTAAGCTTCGGTCACATCTGCAAAATGCACCAAGAGTTGCTATCAGGAATAGCATTGTTGGGCAAACAGCATGTTTATAGGAGTGAGATGGTACTGCGAGGACTGCTCGTTCCTCAACCATCCTCTGATGACACTGTGTGAAAAATGCTTAATCCCCAGAGCAAGTTGATCAAGTTGTAGCATTTCTTGTTTGATTCTGCACTTTTGCACTTTTTATATCACCGATTGTCTTGCACCATTTTTTGATACACAATTTTTTTGGGTTACAAAAGAACGAAAACAAGAAAAGCACTTTTAACACTGTATAATATACACAACATCATAAAAGAGCGTTTTTTTAAACTGCTATACACAAGAAACAATAGAAAAACACAAAAGGCTTGCAGATGTATAATAATATCATTTCTTTGAAGTTGTTTTAAATGGTGGCGGAGTTTGCCTCGACATATATGTTGCCCATTGGACAGTAGAGCCCACAGCATGGAGTACTGCAGATGAATATGAAAACCTGCTCCATATACAGTCGTGTAAAAATAGACATCTCTTACCATCTGAAGTAGTATCTGCCATCCTTGAATGCACCGTCAGTGCTTCCAGCTATATAATAATTATAGAGAAAGAGTAAAGTATCATTATATCTGGCAAGCGAATTAGTGGCTGCGGGCTACCCATGTCTACACATTCATGTAGTTAAAAGTGTAATATATAGTAACATACATACTTGGTAAATCCAGAATGACTCCAGCCATTTCTTTCCCATCCAGCACCCCAACATAGGCCAGGACCCCAGTCTCGTATTTTCCTCCCTTCCTCTTTACTATCACCTCAGGCTTCGACTTGCAGTTCAGTTTGTGTCTTGGTCTCTTGATGACGAGATTCCGTGTAACTCCATCCTTCATCGTCACCTCTGTGAAGAGCTCACCGCCACTACCACTGGGACTGAAGCTTCTGTTACTGGCAGAAGACCGTCGGTGATGCTTGTGACTACTGCTTCCTGAAGCTGCGCTAGTAGAAGATTGCTTGCTAGACCTTCTTCCTCCAGTGTTATCCGCGGAGGCTCTAGTTAACTCTGCCTCCAGCCTAGAGTTGTCCTGACGGAGTCTGGCCACCTCCCGTATCAGTTGAGAGTTGTCCTGAGTTGCCCTGGCCGGCAGGTCTTGAAGAGGACTTACTTTCTCCACCTCCTCTTTCCAGGCGTCACACTTCTGCTGCATTGAATCCAGCTCCAGCTGAGTCCTCTGTGTACAGGAGGCATACAGAACCTCACTATAGACAACACTGGTTTTGATAAAGTATGTGTTGGCTACACTCTGTACATATGCACCATCAATATTGCCGTAAGTTATGCATTAGGTGACGCGGCGCAACTATTACTTTCGTACCCTGACTTGTCATCCGTACCGTTTCAGGCCTTTAATGAAGGGAGGGGGCAAAATCCATATTAATGAGAAAGAGGAGGGACAAAACTCTGTGTAAATTAAAAGGTTCACTTAACCTCTGGGGGGGGGAGTTTATAAATACCCCACTGTGTGCCATAGGACCCAGAGAGCCTAAGGTATGTGATTGTAGCTACTTTAATACAGTATTGTAAATGTGATAAGAGTCTGTGACATTGGATGTGTGGGGAGAGTTGGCTGGCCATCAAAGATCTTTAACCTACCGTCCCCAGTTCTCAAGGCTGGGGTGTCCTGCTCTTGTGTTTGTATGTGTAAGACTGTGTAATTACGATGTGATAGGCTAGGGCTGCACAAGCACAAAATACTGAAGCATACAGGGTACCCTGGTCCATCTCAAAATACATGTAATTTTGACCACTGAGCTGTCGCGTGTAGTGAAGTGGACAAAAGTCTCCCAGCCTCTGGTCCTTTTGGTCACATTCCTCTCTATCCCCTTTTCCCTCCCTTTCTCCTCGATCACCCCACAACACACCACACACACACAGTCACAGACATGACCCGCTCCTAACACACTGTACGTGTCACTCACATCACTGCTGAGCTGCCCCCTGGTCCCAACGGTCTCCCTGAGAGAGGAAATCTCGTCCTCCTTTGCCCGGAGATCGGCCATGAGGGTCTTGGTCTGGTGACGATAGTCTTCCAGCTCTCTGGCCAGGTTGAGGTTCAGCTGGTGGATCTTTAGGTTCTCCTTCTCCGTCTCCTCTGCCCTCCCCACCTTCTTCTGGAGAGACTGCAGGGCTTCCTGGGAGTGGGTGAGGGAGAGAAGAGAGGAGAAGAGAGGAGAAAGAGATTAAACGTAAACTTGGAAACGTAATGTTGTGTGTGTTTATATGGACCACAATACTATCTGTGGTGGCAACTGACCATGAAAAACCAAACACTACGCAAATGAAAAGCACTAAAGTGCAAACCCTCGGCGAACTGCGCATGTGCAGTACCACTAATTAATGGGCTGGGCTTTTTATGCCTGTGGTATCCCGCTAGTAGCTCGCGGAGAGTCTGGCACGGGCTAGCTACAGTAGTAAATAGCATGCGGGAGTCGATACATGCCCTTCGTTGTGACTTGTTGTGCCTTCAAGACACACAGAGCGAGCGGACGCGGTCGAGGTAAGCCTGTGCTAATTTACATATTGGCTTGTTCACTTGGTTTTCACGCCATAACTTTAAAACACAGTAGTTTTACGAAAATCGCCTTTTTTAAAATCAACCCAGTGTAGCACTGAACCCGATCATATCGCTATTTACCTGATTTCGTGCGCGCGGTAGCAGAAAACGTGGTAACAGACAACAGACAGACTGACAGACACACTTACGGGACAACTACCGTAACCCTCGCTGCGCATGCGCGCCGAGGGTTAATAATGGGTTACCTGTCAAGTTTCCAACTGCATTATATACGAATACAACACACTATTACATACATAGACGAACTAGTCAGTCAGTACTAACACTTACCAATACTATCAGTATTAGATAAAGTATACTTTAGCTGCAGTTTGCCAATGTACTATTACATACACGAATATGTATGTATGTACAGCACACATGCAGGCTTGCATTCCCAGTATATACATGTACATAGGTATCAGATAAAAGTTATAGTACCTGGTACTCAAGCTGCAGTTTACGCATGTACTCTGTCGTCTGGGCCATCTGTTGTTCATACTCTGCCACCTCAGCACTGGTCCTCTGACGAGACTCCACCGAACGCTTTACACTCTGCACCAGAGGAACACCACCATTCCACAAATACTCAAGATGGACCGCCCCATATATAACTAAAGCCATAAACTCATGCACACAGAGCAATATGACAGTCTGAGTTGCAGAGGAACACCACCATTCCACCAATACTCAAGATGGACCGACCCATATATGTAACTAAAGCCATAGACTCGTGCACACAGAGCAATGACAGCAGTCATGTACAATAATGTGTCATCATCGAGGTGAGGTAGCAAAAGGCAAAGGCAAGCAAACAAGTAAACTATTCCTGTATATATGTTCATAATAGTGTCATTTCCATTTCCCAGACACCCTAGCTTACAACTACCCCTCTGCGAGAAAACAACCCAAGAGCAAGATAGTATACAGCATTCTCACTTATATTAATGTACATACACCCACAATATTATCTTGACCAGGAAAAATTACTTTCTTGCTACTTTTATTCTTGTGCTGAGCAAACTGGTCTTCACCTGGTTCTGGAGCTCCAGAGCATCCATGTACTCCGTGAGCTGATTCTCGAGGGCTGCGTTCATGTTCTTCATCTCTTTCAGCTGATCCTCCTTCACCCTCACTTCTTCCTCTCTCTCCTTGAGCTGGGCTGTGAGAGACGTGATCTCGGCAGACATGACGTCTAGTTCAGATCTCGCCTCGTCCAGTCTGTCTGCCAGACGCTCCTCACTCTGCAGAAAACAGAAACAAGCATATATTTATCAGTTAGAAGTTAGTATATAGTATTTATGGGAATCTTTGGGGGCTACACAATGTTTAGTGGGGCATATCCGGACCCAGTATTGTATGCCTTTCCCATGCTTGAGCTGCTTGTGTACACACCTCAGCCTTTCCATCAAGCATTTGTAGCAGCTGTAGCTTGTGTAACTGGGCCTCTCCCTGGACCAGAGCTGCTGCCTGGCCTAGAATCTGCTGTACTCCATCAATTGTTGGTCGTCTCTTTGGCATGTTCTCCAGGCAGGACTCCATTAGCTGGATTAGTGGGTGGGTTTTAGTAAACTCTCTGTACAGCTTCTTGGTGTAGTTTTCGCGACGCTGGAGTTCTGTTCGAGCCAGTAGTCCCTTCACCTCATCTGTGTAATTTGGGGCCTTAGGATTGTCTGGAAACGATTCTGCCAGAACGAAAATGATCAGGACCCCCAGAGAGAATATGTCGATTGAAGCGTTGTATTTCGACGTGTCTTCCAGTGCATCAGGAGGCATGTAGATGTACGCGCCAGGTGCTTTTGTCATGGTGGCTTTTATTTTTGGAGGCATAATTCTGGCCATGCCGAGGTCGGCAATCTTGGCCGTCATTGCTGAGTTGAGGAGGACATTTCTTGCGGAGAGGTCGCGGTGGATGACGGGAGGACTCTGCTTGTGGAGGAAGGCAAGGCCTCGGGCTATGTCCTGCAGAATTGAGACCTTTACACCCAGGGGAATGTTAAGTGGTGCAGCAGTGGTTGATTTGTGGTCATCAGGCTCTAGTATATTGTGCAGGCTGGTCATCATCTTCTCCATCACTAAATAAAGGCTTGAGTCGGCATCGAACCAAAGACCGAGAAACTGAACGATGTGCGGGTGGCGGAGTCGGCTCATCATTGTACATTCCGACAAGAACTTTTGGACGTTACTGTCGGCCACCTCCTTGGCTAACCAATCTGGGTCCTGTTTCGTCAGCCAATCGTGGATTTTCTTGGCCGCGCAGAGGGCCCCCGGAATCGCCACTTCCACGACATCGCCGTAGGACCCGCTGCCGATCGTTTTTCCCGTGTGAGTCACGCCGTGAAGTACCAGTGGCTGCAGGTTGAGAAACCGCCCTTCAGTATCTGGGCGAGCAGCCATAGCAGCGCGCCACGCCCCTTGATAGCAGGGTGGCCGGCCGGCCATGGGGCCGCCGGGGCGTCGCTTCCCGGATCCCAGGTCACCGATCTGAGCTAGCTGCGCACGTGTGTACCCGACAGCCCCTGCGCGCATGCTCAGAGCGCTGACATAGGCCACTCAAAATTCAGCTATTGTCTTATGCCTGTCCATCACCTCAAATTTAGGTCACCCTCTCTATTATTTTACTGCATCCTTCAGCTATGGTAAAGGTGTTTAGGATATTGCATTTTCCTGTCCTTCATCCTGCATTCTTGTTAAAAGTACGAAAGTTTATGCCATTTTTGCCATTAACGTTTGCACAACACTCTTTAGGTATTGAGTTTACCTGTCCTTCACCTTACATTCCTTTTTTGAAGAACAGGGAATTTAGGCAACCCTGTTGTCTGGGACCGACACTAGCTAAAAAAGAGAGTAAAAAGTAGCCATTACGTCTCGTTGATTGCATGTAATCTGACGACGGTGGGCATGTACTGACTGACACTGGACAGTGTGCGATGTCGCATGATCCCCAGCCACCTGGCTATGTATGTATGACGCTGGAAAAAGATTTCGTATAAGATTTCATTTAGCTACCAAACAGAGGGAAGAGAAGGAAAGTGTGTGGAGTAATGAAAGGATGTTTGGAGTAGTGGATGGCCAAGTCCAAGAGGGAGTCAAAGGTCTCGGAGGTAGACAGACCATACCTCTCGTTCTCCATTATCACCTTCACATGCTTCACCCCATCACACCTGTGTTTAATAGAGCACACTGCTGCACGAGCATTGTGACATAGATCTATCATGCTGCGGTAACCTCTTAATCTTGCATGTCGAGTATGCTACTCCTATATATCTGCCTTGAGTATAATGGAGGCAACAAGGGATGGGTTTCCGAAGAAAACATTGCTCTGTAATCCCATGAGCAAATCCGCCAATTTGGGGCTAGTTTTGAAACTTACACAATGTCTATTGTGTGCATGTGTATCCCTCCTTCTGGATGCTTTGTTGGCTGGCTGCTGGGACGACAAAGAAATGTTCCGTCTTCACGGCCGCTCAGCAGCTCAACTGCTTCATCCCTGTGATTATTATAATTATCACTTCATTGCAACCACACTCCTCTCTCCATACCTTTCCCTATTCTATGGTGTGTATGCACAGCAGCTATGTTTATGTACCTGGTTAGATCTCTGTACCAGTTTTCTTTCTTTCTGTGAGCGGGTAACATGTCTTTCTTGTCTTCTTCATAATAGTACTTCGTGAGCTGTGAACTTATTGCGTGTGACTCGTCAGCAATCACACTCCTGGTCATTTCTGGAGGCAGCGTAGCCATGTGCTGCATAAGTTTACCCCTCGAGATTATAGTCTTCCATACATTGCATTAAGTTATGTATTAATGGTATACATAATATTGGTAACATTAATAGTGTGTGTGTGTAACTTGCCTTGTGTTTGATGTGAAGACTGCGAGGTGTAGTATGTGGTTTCTTTCTCCCCTTCATATCGCTCCTCCTCATCCTTACTGGCGGATCTGGCGTAAAGCTCTGTACAGAAAAGAAAATCGCTGGCAATGGTTTGATTCCAGATTGTTGCACACCTTTTTTAAAAGTTCGAGGTCTTGCATGGATTTCTCCAGCATCTGAATCAGCTCCAGGTTTGATCTGGTGTGGTGGCTGTCAGAGACGCCACCTAGAGCTTGATCTAGGAGCTCTAGAACAGTCTCAGTTGATGGTCGTTTCTTTGGTGTGTTGTGCAGACACGACTCCATCAACTCTTTTAGAGGATGGGCGGTTGGGAAGGCGGTGTATATCGTGCATGTGTATTCCTCGCGACGCTGAAGCTCTGTTCGAGCCACAAGTCCCTTTTCATCGTCAGTGTATGTTGGAGCTTTCAGATTCTGTGGAAACTGCTCTGAGAGGACAAACACTACAATGACACCCAGAGAGAAAATGTCTATTGAGGCGTCGTAGGAACAACTGTCGTCTAGTGCTTCAGGAGGCATGTAGACCAGTGCTCCAGGTGCCTTGGTCATGGCAGCTTTGTCTATGGGAGGAATTATTCTGGCCATGCCGAGGTCAGCAATCTTGGCCGTCATTGCTAAGTTGAGGAGGACATTTCTTGCGGAGATGTCGCGATGGATGACGGGAGGACTCTGCTTGTGGAGGAAGGCAAGGCCTCGGGCTATGTCCTGCAGAATTGAGACCTTTACCCCCAGCGGAATGGCTACGCTACTGGAGTTAGGTTCGTTAGGCTCTAGTATATCGTGCAGACTGGTCATCATCTTCTCCATCACTAGGTAGAGGTTCGCATTGTCCTCGAACCAAAGACCGAGAAACTGAACGACGTGCGGGTGGCGGAGTCTGCTCATTATCGTGCACTCGGTCAAAAACTTTTGAAGGTAGCCTTCGGCTACGTCTTCTGCCACCCACTTGGGGTCTTGTTTCGCCAAGCAGTCGTGAATTTTCTTGGCCGCGCAGACGGCGCCCGGAATGGCCACTTCCTCGACGCTGCCGTAAGATCCGCTGCCGATCGTCTTGCCCGTGCGGACGACGTCGCGAAGCGTGATAGACCGCAGCCTCGGGTGGGAACGGAGCTCCGTCCGAATAAACGACATTGTAGCTAGCTAGCTACCGCGAGTAATGCGCTCTGGCCTTTAGGTGCTTGACTGTTGTCTAAATTATGGGTAATACTTTTGCACTCCTGCACACTCATAGCCATAATTAGCAGTTTATCTGTGTATTATACTGTATGCAACGAGTTGCTGATGGACAGGGATAGCTGAGAGGGATCAGGCTTCTTCAGGAACTTTATCTTCTCCTGTGTGAACCTTCTGCGGTGACCGTGATGAGCAATCATGTTGCGCAGTCGGGTTAGACTCCTGCATAACGGTGGAATTGTCTTGGGACTAAAGATGCACAGCTGACAACATGCCACTATGATCAGATAGAGCAAGGGAGGAAGAACAGTTATCGCCGTCGTGTTCTCTTCCGCCCGAAACACCCACCACATTGGTAAGATTACGGCAACGGATATCAGAGCGATGGAAAGGGAAATATTGATTTTCTTTGTGTCCTTAAAGTCTCGGCGATGGATCTTTCTCGCTTTGAATGCAACAAAAGCCAGTATAGCTCCGAGAAGTCCAGTGTACCCTAGAACAGTAGAAGACCAAATGAAGTAGTAGTGACTGTGGCAAAATTTCACGACCTCATAGTGTGGTGGCATAGTCCCTGAATGGTAGATTTCCACTTCCACGACTCGGTACTGATCTAGAACAGTCCAACAAGATAGAATGCAAACTTTCACAAACAGGATAAAGGCTATCGCAACAAGTAGACCCTTATCCGAACAGACCCTCTTGATTTTTGCAAAGCGATTGAAAATGTGATAAATACGGCAGACTTTGACGAGAATAGTGGCGATTATTAGATCTGCACCGGGATATACTGTCCAGATTCTTACAAGACACATTTTCTCCTGTGGAATCACAAGTGCAATGTTCTCTCTGAGTTCGTTTGCACCGGCAAACAGGAACAGGAAGCAGCTGAGGTGTATGAGCATAGAGAGACAAACGCTCGAAGCTTTGATCTCCGGTTCGTTGCGGTAGTAAACGTAGAGCAGTACGTTTGCTAGGGACAAGAGGAGGCATAGTGTGAGACAAGCAGTGAGAGTGGCCCTCACAGGCAGCGATAAGAGTTTGTATTCCCTTGGTAGTTGGTCACTTGGAACAACAGGGCTCGTAAGGTTTTCAAACCTTGTCAAGTTTAAAAGTGGGTAATAATACCCGAGGGTGTTTTCATATCCATCTACTGTTTGGAAAATGGCAATGTTTGCTCCGTCCATGAGTCCAGCTCTGTTGGAATGTAACTTGTTTACTGGAAAGAGGGTAGTGTCCATTGTTTGTCCAATCATATGAGAGACTGTTCTTTGAGCTCTGATTATGGAGAGCTGGGAGTCGCGAAGGCCAGCGTTCTCCCTTGCCAAAAACATTTGGACTTTGGGAAATGTTTGATTCAGGGAAAAGGCTGTGGCCAGTATTGCATTGTACATAGCACTTGCATAAATACTTTTATGCAGGACATTTACAGAAGACAGCGTGTTATCATTTTGCTTTACTTCACTTACGATTACAGTGCGGAAGGATATGACGCCCTCCACAGCATTTGAATTGCAGTTGCCCACAAAACTGGTGATATTTCGTAAGCTAACGTCTAGAACAATCCAGGCGTAGTCTGGCCACTTTAGACCATAGTCGTAAGCCCGACATATCAGGAGAGCTGCTTCAAGTGGTGGAAGGATAACACAGAGTACTCTCACACCTGAAGCATGTATTGACCTAATTGCCCGCAGTATATTACTTTCCCTCTGCATATGTATGTCGTCTGTGACTTTAAAGAGTTTCATTGTAGGTCCAAAACCTCGGTCTTTCAGAGCTCTTATCACCTGGTGGGAATCCTCGAAGTAGAAACTGTTTTGGTGCTCGGTGAAAGCAATCCCGTGTCTAGTCCAGCCCACATGTTGCATGAGCTGAGTCAGAGCCTCAGCATAGGCCAGACTGGAAGGGAACATCTGGTAGTAGTACGGTCGCGAGCTCCCTCCTGTCACGGGTAGGAATGTGTTGACTGATATCTGAACCAGTCCCAGACGCTCTTCACCGCCAACTCCAATCAGCTCCAACTCTTGCAACGTCGTCTTACAGAAGAAGCCAACCACAGCCACTGTTAGTTTGTCATGATGGTTCTCTGTGAGCTCACGTGCCAACCGAACCAGGATCGAAGCTGGTGATTCCAGGCTGCAGTTAGTCCGTAGCTTATTGACGCTCAGAGTAAAGGGCAGCTTCATTTCGCGCAGGCGCCGTTCGGCAACCTCTGCAGCCATGAACACTTCATCGCCATTCATCTCGTCCACGTCTTGGACCACAACGAGAACATCGTATTCATAATAATGTAGTTGATCCATCAGGGACAAAGGCAAGACTAGCACCAACAGAACGAGTAGAAGAGGAGTCATTCTTGATGTCTCCAGCTAGCATGCAGTTGCTAGCGCGTTCATCGAGCATGCGCACTGCGGAACCGGCGCGTACGTACGTACCCGCAACAATAAATTGGGGTCAGGCATTCGTTAACCCTCGGCGCGCATGCGTAGCGAGGGTTACAGTAGTATAACGTACGTGTGTCTCTGTCTGTCAGTCCGTGAGCCGTCTCACTTTACGAGCCATCAATCGCTCCACAAACAATACCACGTATTCAGCGTCGGCTAAAGGTCGAAATAATATGTAGGGTTTTCTCTGAAACTGCTGCGTTCGGGAGGTTTACGGCGTGTAACACAAGCGAAAACAAGGCAATGCTGAATGCTAGCGCCGATGTGTGGTTATAAAAACATTGATTCACTGAACTAAAAACACAAACAGGAACGTTCAGCAAGTGCCCCCAGCAAACAGAAAACTGAATGAAAGAGTCTCGTTCTAACACACGCACAAACAACATGCTCACTCTAGTAACTAACAATGATTATGAAACCACCTGCAGTCAATTTTATGAGGTACTCATCGACATACTAGTTGTATTACTTGGATTTGAGAATCGCATCTGAGAAACTTGTGATGAAATAAATCGTTCAGATAATCGCCTTTTCACTTGGGGAAAGTTCCCTCCAGATTCCTTCAGCACATTGCTAGCCGAAATGCTCCTCATCAATGGTGGGATTGTCTTTGGCAAGAAGAGGCAGGTCTGGCAAGACATGGGTAGAATCATGTACAGCAAGGCAAGGAGAGTTGTGCTGGCATTGGTGTTTCCCGCCGCTCGAAAAGTCCACCACATGGGTACCACGATTCCTACAGTCACAAAACACACCACTACAGTCATATTGATCTTTTTTGTATCGTTGAAGTCCTTGTGTCTGATCTTTCTCGCCCTGAACACCGCACAGCCCAGGACGGCTCCGAGTATGGCAGTGTAGCCGAGTGAGGTACAGAGCCATAGAAAGTAGTAACGCGAGAGGCAATGTTGCTCCACTTCGTAGTACGGCGGTTTAGCTTCAGGGTGGTAGATCTCTACGTCTGTGTTAGTAAATACATCCAGAGAGGTCCATAGTGAGAGAATTAGCACTTTCCCTGCAAATACGAAAGCTATGACAAGGAGTAGGGTAGTGTCGGAACAGAGCTTCATGTTGATTTTCCCCTGGGAGTGGCTGAATATGTATTTAATCCGTGATATTTTCACCAAGAGTGTGGCGAGAATGATGTCTCCCCACGGATATATGAGCCAGTTGAGAAGAGTGCAGACCACCTTACCGTAAGACTTATCGATAGCAACGGCACTTATCGAGATGTAAAACTGGCCTCCGATCATCATGATGATGCTGCTGACGTGGATCACCATGGAGAGTCTGAAACTGGATGACTTGATTTCAGGAGTATTTCTGTAGTACATGTACAGGGTAAGGTTGACCACAGCTATGAGAAAACAGATGGCCATGCACGTAGTGAGTAGCCCTTCTAAAGAAACTGGGAGTCGAGAGTATATCCTGGCCAGTTTATCACTTGGGATTGGTGCTTTAGGCACTACGTAATGTGATGTGTTTGACATCGGATTGTAAGCTCCGATTTTTGAACTTTTCCCATGAATCGCTTGAAAGATGGAGATATTTGTTTCAACTACAGGTCCATTACTCCTGTTGAAAGTTGTTTTTCCCAAAGCTCCCATAAAACTGACTCCACTGCTCAGGACCTCTCCTATCATATGAGAGACACGTCGCTGAGCTCTGTTTCTGTAGCTTTGCAAATGAAAACTGTTTTTGCTCTCTCCGCTATTAAGAAAGTCTTTTACTTGAGAGAATGTGATATTCAAAGAGAAAGCAGTAGCCAAGATGGAGTCATAAATTGCCCTGGTGTAAATGTTTGAATTTCGAAGAGATGTTTCTAATGGAATCTGAACTTGAGAAGAAACCTCTTTCAATCTTGTGGCATTGTGACTAAGGACAGTCCGGAAGTATATGATGCCGTGAAATGCGTTTGAATCACAGATTACTCCTCTTTCAAGACTAACGTTTGCTAGGTTAATGTCAGGAACAATCCAGCCATACTCCGGCCATCTTAGACCATAATCATATGCTCTACATATCAACATTACAGTTTCCAGTGGAGGGAGAAGAACATAGACTATCTTCACTCCTGACACATGTATTGATCGAATTGCTTGCATTACACTGTGTTCTCTGAGTGCTTCAATGTCGTTCGTTACTTTGAAAATCGAATCATCATGCCCATGCTTATTCAAAGCTCCTATCACCTGTTGATAAATCTCATAATAGTAGCTGTCCTGATGTTCGGTGAAGGCAACTCCAACCCTAGTCCAGCCCACATGTTGCATGAGCTGAGTCAGAGCCTCAGCATAGGCCAGACTGGAAGGGAACATCTGATAGTAGTACGGTCGCGAGCTCCCTCCAGTCACTGGTAGGAACGTGTTGACTGATATCTGAACCAGTCCCAGATGCTCTCGACCGCCAACTCCAATCAGTTCCAACTCTTGCAATGTCCTCTTACAGAAGAACCCCACAACAGCCACTGTTAGTCTCCCCTCATTGTGTATTAGCTCATGTACTAGCTGAGCCAGTGATACAGAAGAGGAATCCACTTCCAGAGTCTTCACAGTAAAATCAAACGGGAATGATAGACTGTACACACTCTGTTGTGCCAGCTCTACAGCATGCTGTAGGTCCCCACTTTCCACACTCCATTCAGAAACCCTTGCATCTGGGAGGATAACCAGCACTTCATACTGAGGTTGCCGTGCAAGAGACGATGACAGTACAAGAGCAACAAACACCAGGAGAGCGACCATTTTCACTTGTACAAACGTAGCTATGCGGAAAGAGCAGGTAAACTATGCGCGGAATTACGATGAATCTTGATAAAAGCACACACCGGACCGGACGTTATTTTGAGCGTTATGGTGCATGTCCCGGCGCGACATGCTGACTCCGTAGTCGTATTATACGGTTGACGTTCAAAAAGCTATGTTATTATACCTACGCTGCGTTGGTGGATCTTGAAAGTATCTAGCTAAGCAACCTTAGCTATAATATGTCATCTTGGACAAAAACACGCATGACCTGCGTGCAAAAACAAAGGCATTGTATAGCAAGGAAAGAGCTGACATATACATATATGGTAGGCGAGCAGCAAAGACCCTAAGGCCTAAAACAGACCCTGTATGGGATCGCGAGTATATATATATGTAGGGAGCGCTAGTGTGCGCATGCCCGCGACTGTTTCCGCGCGCATGCGCACACAATAAGGGTTAGGTATTGGCGCGGATCGCAGCGCGGATCGCAGGACCAGTCGGTAAAAACGATTCTCCCTGTCGACGTCTCAGCAATGCCTGCGCTTGAGGCCTTCGGGACGAAGTTCCATATCGGTAGCGACGACCTCGTCTTTCCGAATCTCTTTTTGCACTGCATTCGATTTATCTGGTAAGCTTATTTGCTGACGCCAAGCATTGATTATCATGGTATGGCCTATCGACCTGAGGCTAGTAGTGGTAGTAGAATGTATAAGCTGTTTAGCTATGAATACAAGAATCATCTATTATAGTTATTAGTCTGAGCTATAAATATTTTTTACTAGCTACCAACAAGGCCCCATCGATGCATGTGGGCTAAAAGACTTTCCTCTCATACTAGACTCATTTCCATTTGCCTCTACCTAATGCACTGCCACTGCCACTGAGAACTGTTGAGTGAATGGCTGATCACAAAGTGCATGCACCTAACAATAATTATGGCACACTGTTATTGGTATAGAGTGTAATGTGTAGTAGCTATATCTCTACCAACTCATGGTCAACAACTGAATGTGAAGTATATAGCTATCTACAGTAGATTGGATACAGTGATGTAGTGGTAGATGCTAAAGTATAATAGCAGGTTGACAAGAATCAGTTAGTTTTGCAACCAGAGTTCAGAGTGCCTCTGAATCGGTACCAAATCTCTCTGGCACACCACTATTCATGCAAGCACTCTGCGCGCATTCCCTTTATGAGGTTGCTAGCCCTATTATATCTGTGCAGGTTCTGTCTGTTTGGCCTCAACACCAACAGCTACAAGTGTGAAAACGAGGACATCCTACGATTTAATCTCTGGTTCCTCACTGTATTTCACATTGTCATGTTCCTCATCGAAGTGGCTACAATCTACATCAGTGGCCAAGGCACCATAGCCAATCCCTCTCCCAGAAAAAATATCAACATTGTCCTCTACGCAGAGGCAATCGTCTTTATTGTTAAGTTTGTCCTGGACATTTTTTGTTTTTTGTGGGCAGTTGATCCTTCCTGTGACTGCCCTGACTCCAATATGATAGTGCTTCTGGCCTGCTACATCCTCGTCTACAACCTCATAACCACTGTGGCAATAGCTCTCTACGTGCAAATCTGTCGTTTGCCCTGCATGAGAGGTGATGAAACCCGGCATAAGAAGCTCGGGGAAGTTAAACCTACTGTGAGTAGCCACGGTCTCCTAGCACTCAGCAGTGAGAAGATGGAGGAACGTAGACTGAGAGGGAGGGTGTGGCAGACGAGAATAAGGTGGCTGTGTTGCTGTGTGAGACTGAGAGAGAGAAACAGGAGTGTGTATGCTGACATCGGGAGGGTAATAGCCGATTCCTTCACATACTTGAAGGGATACGTACTGTCAGACCTTGCAGCTGGGATGGCTCTCATGGCTATGAAACAAAAGGCCAAATGCAATGTAAGTCCAAACCACAGCTACTATGTGGTTAGACTAAAATATTTCAGGTTTAATTAAATAGCTTCAAGTAATCCAAAGAGCCTTTTGCACTGTGATAATTACTGTCATTTGTTTCGGTTTTGTCAGTAAGAGTTTTTTCTCTACTGCAGGTTGAAGATCCTCTTCATAAGGACCTTCATACACTACTTGATTTCCGTAGCACTGTGAGTGGACACTCTCCTGTCCCCTCCTGGACACTGTTATGCAACATGCTATAATGGAGTCTTTCCTCTATATAGTTGGTGTGTGCCCATTACAACAGGGTTGTGTACTATGCCAAGTATGCAGTTGCAACGTACGGCTCAGACGATGATCTCAGAGAATTAGTTGCATCTCTTGCTAGAATGTGGTGAGTTGTCTATATACTGTTGTGTGCATGCGTAGGTACAACTCCCTTTATCTTCATAATTTGGACAGACGTGCACAATTTTTGTGCAATAAAATAATTATGACATGCCTAATTTAACTAGATTTTTTATACCGCCTGGATCCATCAAAAGGCCGTTAATATTTCAAGTTTCAACGGTATGTATAAGGCACATGTGACATGTGTAAAGAAGTGAGAACTGCTGAAGAAGTATGTTTTTCCCTTGAATGTAGTGGTATAGTTAAGGAGAAGAGAGAGACGCATTCAAAGCCAAGGGTGATCAAGAGGGGTGGGACATTGACAATCTCAAACTTCTCACCTGTGTGACTGACAGAGATATCGTCTATGCTTCATTTGTCAGTGAAGTACGTAATCTACCGTTTATATTTCTAGATTAACTACCTGAGTTGATCATGTAATGTATATATTATTTTTTTAATAAAAGACAACACAGTTTGTTTATTGCCCGGTGTATATATTATTGTGATCAGCCAAACGAAATGTTTTCTGTAGATGAATGTTGTTGTTTTAGAGGGGGAAAATGTGGACATCTTAATGTTTTGATCCCTTGCACCAGCCAGGTCTTTGTTCCAGCATTCTATGTGGTGGTGGATCACACTCAAAACACTGTTGTGGTTGCTATTAGAGGCACCTTCAGCATCAAGGTATATAGGGTCCGACATACATTGTATAATGATATTATGTAGTCTGTGTTCTTGGTGTTGTGTTCTCAGGATGCTCTAACTGACCTGAGTGCTCAGGCATCACTGCTCACCTCATCAGAGACTGGAGGAGAGGTTTATGGACACAAGGTTGAACTCTGTGCTTGTCTCTAACTGTTATAACTAGACGAATGCACAAGCGAACCCGAATGCATAATTGAAGGGGTCAGAGTCAGAGTGGGCCACCCTCAATATATACTCTGTGGTGTTCCTTGATATGTTTCTAAAACCGGCAGAGTTTATATTAGGGTTGGCTCACTCTGGCTCTGACCCCTTCAATTATAATAGCTGTTCATGCATAATTATTTGCAATATCACTGTTCAGTGCTTACCTAGTTTTGTATAATAAATCCCCTGTTGAATTCCCGTGTGTGTGTTATAGGGCCTGGTTGCTTGTGCTCATGCTCTACAAGGTAAACTGGAGAATGAGAAAATACTGGAAAGAGCGTTTGAGAAAAACCAGGTAACTCAATGTGGTGTGTGTTGAGTTCTTCATTCACTGGGTTTTGGTGCCTGTACAGGACTATGGGTTGGTTCTGGTGGGCCACTCTCTAGGGGCCGGGGTGGCCAGTCTCCTGGCCATACTACTCAAGAAACACTACCAGAACCTCCACTGCTATGCCTACTCCCCTCCTGGTGGACTACTCTCGTGTGTACTTTTAACTTTTTTGCAAAATTTTTTTTTACCACACAAAAATTGTCCAAGTGTGTCCATAATTATCTGTTCTATACTCTAACTTCACTAACTACACAAAGTAAAAGGCAGACAACCTTACTCTCACACACATTGCTGATATTAAGTAAACATGCAGGCTCCAACACTTGTGCCCATCCACTGTCACTGAGTTATGTTAATCTGTGCAGTATGAGAGCAGTTCCCGGGACTCGATGCTACATCACGACAGTGGTGGTGGATAATGACCCCATTCCCAGGTCTTTAAGTATTCCCACATACGTATAATATATGTGGGAGTCTCTTTTCCCATGTTTTACACGCAGGTTGAGTATACAAAGTTTTCAGTCGTTCAGCAAGATCATTCTGTACCATATTGAAACCAGCACTATCCCAAAAGTGAGTAGTCTTTTCTCTTACAAGCATATCTAAGTACTGCTATTGCAGCATGGCACGCACGGGTGAAACGTGCTGAATGTTCTATTTTATGTTCACAGAATAATAATATAGATGAACAGAACATGCATCAATTAGACCGTAGAATGCACGAAGCATAATTGAGTGTCAATGGCATGGTAGCATCGTATATGACAACAAAGAAAGGCAAAGGCAAAGCAAAAAAGTCAACTACACCCGGACAACAGTTTTTTCTCCAAGTTAAAAGAAAGAGCTGCTCTGGGTGGGATTCGAACCCACGACACTCTGCAGTCTAGGCGAGCACTCTACCAACTGAGCTACCAGGGCAGCTCAGCTGGTAAGGGTTGAAATTTTCAACACAGCAGAACACAAAGGCAAACCTCACAACACAAAGCCAACACAAATAGCAAACCTCACAGCACAAAGGCAAAACCTCAAACCACTGTGCTATGGCACAGTAAACTCTCACTGGGTATATGTAAGACAGTTCATCTTTGTGCATTCTATTATTCTCTTCTTGACCCACAATTCCAGTACCGTATCTTCCTGTCGAGTGGGCTCCAGTGGCTGGGACTGTGTGGGTCAGTGGTGAGGAAGATTGGCAACAGGAGGGTCTCAGTCTCCACTATGGCCATCCTCAAGGAACCCCTCCTCAGCACACACTTTGATTCAGATGCCTTTCAGGTGCATACGTCTGCAACAGTTCACATTGGCCACAGAGTAGCTAGCTAGGGCAAAGCACTTCCTTGAGACAGTTATAATGTATAGCTAGCTACCACTGATCTGAACCCTAGAAACCCTCTACCAATTAACCGACCACTAAACTTGCTAGAGGAATAGAGAAGGTACCACTACCATGTGCTGTGGAGTTTCATGAAATTTAGCAGGCCGTGCTCCAGCCTCCCCTCCACTACCTCATTACTGGAAGAAAGCTGTGTATATAACACTCCACAGGAGGGTACAAATGATGAAGCAGAGGTGGACAAGGAGGAGGTAGAGGAGGGAGGTGAGGGGGAACAGGAGGTGCAAGCCAAGCAGGCAATACTTCTTTTTCTCCCTGGGAAGATCATCCATATTATTACTAGTGACACCACCAACTCAAGGTACGTAGGAGCTGGATTTGTTTATGCCTAAAAGTGAACGTGGCTATTATAGTGCTCTCTTGGGAGTGTCATACTCTATGAATAGTTCCTTCAAAAAACCTCAACACCTATAGCATAATGTTTACAAAGGGAGCAGAGTAGGTATATACACTTTTGAGCTTTAATGGTGCCTTTGGCTATATCTAAGTGAGGGTGTGTGCTGTGGCAAAGTTCTTTGAGGTGAGCTGCCATGCAGGTACATAGCTAATTCAGTGGTAGAGCACACTGCCCATAGACTGCAGAATGCTGTGCATCTGAATCCCACCTAGGGTATATAGCTCTTGGTGTTGTTAACTTGTTGACTATTGCCTTGCGCCCTCGCGTTTATGTTTATCACTCTGGTATGGCAGCCTGTTTAGACGTCGGCCCATCAGAGCCCACTGGACAGCTCCATCACATTTCACAGAGCTGGTCATGGACAGCAACATGATTAGAGACCACGGCATGCTCCACATCCAAAAGATGCTCCTCGAGCTGCAGAAACAAGAGAATCTCAAGAGCCAATAGACCATGAATTATAACCTGCATCATACCCGGTGCTCCATACCGAACCATACATTGTCACAATGTCATAGATGTAGAATTGCAAGTTTTTGTATAAGATGCACTGACGCGTGCAACAACTGTCGCTTTTCACAGCAACTAACAAAAAAATATTCATGGAGAGTATGACAAAAAGCCTTTAGGGAATATACTGTTACGTATTGACATGAACTGTACATGGGGGCTTCATTCTACAATATCTGTGAGAGTGAGAGAGTGCAGTAATTATGATGTCATTGAGCAGGGTCCTCCTCAGTGGAAAGATGGAGGTGGTGGGTGTGGCCTCCGACGAGGAGGCGGCCACAGTATCGCAGAGATTCACCTCTGATACCTGGACGACGAGTCCTGTATCCATAGGAGGTGGGAGGGTGAGAGGGGACCAATGTTTACATGATTCTATATAATACACGCTAAAATGCGCGAAAAAGATAATGTCCGCTTCGCTCGCCAAAAATGTGTTGCTAGTACATGTAGCATATGTACGTACATAGTCACCGCGTAGAGTATAACGTGGTCTAACACTACGTACGGACGTGAGATTAGTTTGAGGAGGCGATCTCTCCAGTTGGCCAGGATCGGCTGGAGCTGCTGCTGTTGTAGAGGAGGGGGTTGTGGAACGGGACTCGGGGGGCATTTTCCCGTACACCTGGACCCCCTGCTGACCAAGGTTCTCATAGGGAATGTCGGCTCTCCCTGTTGCCACCTCTATATAATATACACATTGAGAGTTATGGGGGAACATGCAGTAGGAAAGTAGAAAATGTTACTAAAACGGAATTCGTAAGTTATTCCTGTACGTACGTACCTACTGTAGAGTGCTTGCCTAGAGTGCAGTGTTGTGGTTCCACCCAGGGCAGCCCACTTTTCCCTTTTCCTAATTAGAGTTGTCATGGTGTAGTTGGACTGTTTGCTTGCCTTTTGCCTTGCTACACCTCGTAGTGTTAACATGTGTGTTACACGCAACACTCTGCTGTCTAGCAGCGTCTCTACCAACTGAGTCTACCAGGGCAGCTCAGCTGTTGTGTTACCCAATGTGTTTCGTACACACGTGCAGTGGCAGTAATGTACTGAATTTGAGGGCAAGTTGACGTTATCAGTCATTCATTTAGAACATCCCTTATTACTAGGTCCCCCTACTCTAGAGCCACTTGGCTACTCAGCAGATCAAAGGCACAGCAAACAAGTCAACCACACCCAGGACAGCTGGTTTTTTCCAAGGAAAGAAGAGCTGCAATGGATGGGATTCGAACCCACGACACTCAGCAGTCTGACTAACACTGCAACTTAGCTGTGTGTTACCCAATTACTCGTGTCAGTGGCAGTAACATTTTACTGAATTTGAGGGCGAAGGCGTTGGAGGACAGATTTCTGCATGCTTGTCTCCACACTGTGAGCGCTGAGAGAGTGTGTTGAGTCTCTTCTGAGAGCCAGAGTGCAGACAGAGCCGTCATCAGTCCACTCCCTTGGATGCCCTCTGTCAGTGTGCGAGGCAATAGTGGGGAAGAAGTAAGCACAACACACTCTGTCAGTGGGGGAGAGAGAATATTCATTCCCCGCACAATACACAGCATAAATCTTTCGTGTGATATATATTCGTGTCGCAGAGGGGTATAAAGAGCAAATTGTCATAAAAGTGGTACTGCAACAATACAGTATTTCTTGAAGAAAACTTTAAGTGTTGGCACTCAATCTAAGGTTTAACAGTACTGAGGACACCTATGTAACAGAGCACCTTTACTACAACACCGACACCCCATTAAAATAGACACTTTCTCTAGTCCCATTGGTGTCCAGATCAGAGGGGTTCCACCGCACCTGGTTCCTCAGTGAAGACGTGTCCAATGAAAGGGTTCTCGAGCGGCTTGGCCTGACTCTGCCTCAACTTGTGGAAGGTCCTGCCTTTCGAGGTGGCGAGGAAATGTGACTGGAGCTCTGTGGTGTTGACCAGCACCGCATAGCCCTCAAACCCCACCTGCTCCAGCAGATCAAACTATGGGGAACATTAAAGGGAATTGGGCAGTAAGGGTTAATGCCCATACATTTTGAATGGACACGCAGCATTTTCAAGACACTCCAAATCAAGCAAATATTGGACACATTTTCCTTTATCTGCAGGTTGGTATATAGGTATGCAATTGTCAGGGGTAAAGTTGCCTACCTCTCAGAAAGAAAAAAAAACTGCATTGTACTTTGCTGTTGTCACTCAGTGAGAGAGTGAGATAAAATTGAAAGAGAGAAAGAAGCCAGACAGACCTTCTCCTGAATTGAGAGCAGTGTCTTCTCAATGAGAGCTTCCTCTGTTCCTCCAGCCAGCTCGGGATTGACCACACCCCCTAGCCCAGTTCCCACCCCTGCTGCCCCACCCAGTAGGGTGTGGACTACGTTTCCTTCTCCGCCCCCCTCTCGTGACCCCTCCCCATTCACATCATCACGCGCCAGCTGCTGTACATAAGCACAGTGGTTCGAGGTTTGCCTTGTGTTGTGTTGTGTTGTAAATTCGAACCCCTACCAGCTGAGTTGCCCTGGTAGCTCAGTTGGTAAAGCGCTCGCCTAGACTGCAGAGTGCCGTGGGTTCGAATCCCACCCATGGCAGCTTTTCTTCTTTTCTTTGAAAAGAAAGAGCTGTCCTGGGTGTAGTTGACTTGTTTGCCTTGCCTTGGCTTTCTACCTCGTTACCAAGTTGTTGAGACATGTATATACAATATACACAATAAAACACTTGTTGGAAACTCAGTGTACCTGCATGGAAGAGGTGCAGACAGCCTCGGCTTTGGCAGCCCATTCCTTCCTCTTATCCTCTGTTAGCTCCGCCCACTTCCTGGCCACCGTCGCATTCCTTTCTCGGAAGTCTAGATGGTAGTAGATGGGAGACAGAATTCACCAACAACTCTCCACCGGTTATCTTGCCATTTGCAAAACAGATTTTCATTGCTTAGTTTTTCTCTTCAACATGATACAAGTCAGATACACTGCTCCGTTTTTTGAAAGAGAAAATGTTGTTCCAAAAGGAAAAAAATGCTAGCTAGAAGGTGTAGGTCATACCGGTGCTGATCTCAGGGCCGGAGCGGACAGTGTCAGAAAAGAAGAGGTTGTAGCCATTGACTCTTTTGATCTTCTTGGCTGGTGGGCTGGTGACCAGTCTGGTCTGAGGAGAACTGGCAGTCTGGAGGGAGGGAGGGAGGGAGAGGGAGTAATAGCAAATAAAGAATAGTAAAATAATAAAACAGTCTGGACTTTTGCCTTTCATGTATGTTATCTGGAAGTGATACGAAAATATTGAACACTCAAATTTCTCACTATAATGGTTGTTAATACTAAAGTGTTCGTGCACATCAACATTGACTTGACCGGCAGCCGTGTCCATACATGACATGCCCTATACAGTGATAACTGATTAGCTACTAGATGTGGGAGGGACTCACCCCGATCAGCTCTATCTTTGGTCTCGGGAGAATCCCAGCCTTCTTCTTCCTCTTGACTGCCTCTGACCCTATCCAGTTCTACACACAAAAAAAAACATTATACAGTGGAACCTCGTTAATACAAACACTGTTAAAGCTAAATACCTGCTTAATACGAACCACTTTGAAATCCCCAGGCATTATAACACTAATACAACTATATAGCTACTGTTATAGTGAAATTCCTTTTAATATGAAAATTTTTTGATGGTCCCCTGGAGTTCATATTAACAAGGTTCGGCTGTAGATTACTTAATCATTTTTGTTTATTGTTGTCAGTGGGTTTTGTAAACCGTAGTCAGCGTGTCGAAATGTGACTTCTGCATATTGAGGGGAACTAGGGGATTCTGAGGGCCCAGTTAATAGAGGGAGTACATCATTACCAAAAACTATTTGGGAAATTTGCTACATCACACATGTGTAGCAAAAGGTTACAGCTTCCCAAAATCACAAAAGGAATCTGGCAGTGGTCTAAAGTGTGTTTTATAAAAAGTTTGAGCACATCAAAAGACTGAGGCTGTGGTAAGGTAATTACTGATTAGTGCGACATGCAAGACATTGGCAGGCTTGCCAAGTGCAACGATGACCAGCACCATTTTTACCAGTACACACGGTTTCAGAATTACACCTCTTACACTTGTGTCTCCCCTCCCTCTCTCTCTCTTTCTCCCCCTTCACCTTCCTCACCTTCCTCCCCATCTCATTACCTTGACTCTTTCAACGGTGGTGCCTACTTCATTGGCACATCTCTGGACTATGTCTGTGTTGCGGCGATGGGTCGAGGTCATGCCACACTCGTCGAAATACTTGAGCAAGATCTGCCGCTGCTCTAGCGTGAATAGCTGGGGCTCTGGATGGTAACATAGGTCGGTGGTTGATAACGTATGGAGCGGAGGTGCGATAAAGATAGACAGTAAAAAGGTATTAGTAGTAATGAAAATGTCAAGGTTGGTTGGGAACTTGGAAGTGGTATGTAGGTGGTTGATGATGTATAATTATGGAGGAGGATGGAGAGGTGGGACAGTGGGGAAGTGAATCCATGGTTGGAGAGGGAATAAAAAATGTTAGGTGAAGGCAATGGAACGCAAAATTACTTCTTCCGCTGATAAAAATGTTGAGGGATTTGGTATAATTATACACCTTTATGCACACACAGCAGTACAGAGATAAGGCAGCTGCCCGCCCAAAAGCCAACAATATGGCGGACGCACACACACCGGCCCCAACGCTTTTACAGCCCGATCGAAGGAGACGGACTCACTGGGCCGCGGAGTTCCACGCGACTCGAGCACTGAATTGTTGTCCATATCGCGCCTCTCGAAATATGGAGCCTCGTCCACTTCACCGCAATATTCTTGTATTTTTCCCGGCCTTCTTCTGCTACAAAAAAGCTTGAGTGGAAATTTTACTTTGTCCCCGATAAAAAGAACAAAAATATCGGTGTAATGAGCATGCGCGAATATTTGCAACTCAAAAAGAGGGGTGGGGCTGGTTAACTAGCTCAGCGAGCAATCATGGCACAGCAGTACACGGCAAAGAAGGGGATCTATTCTAGAAACGAACTGATCCTCTTATCGACTAGTCTAGGCTTTCCCGGATCGCTACTGGCGAGCAGATTACACTCTCAACACACGGAGACAGAAGAAGGTGAAGAGGAAGATGTCGCTGAAGTGAGCGAGAAGGCCATCATCAAACTGCTCGGCTCAGGCGCCCTCTTCAAAACACTCGAGAAGGTGTTCAACCGCTACTCTGCTTGGTACAACGTCAAATCTATCAGAAAAGCCATGCAGCACATCAGACACCGCACCCTGAGCTTTTCCGACGTCTCAGAGTGCAGGGTAGCCTTCGAGCTGTACTCGCAGGAAGACGGGAGTGGAATGCCGGCCGAGGTCTCTCGGGTACAGCTAGCCCTCAAGATGTTTGAAAGGGTTTGCTCCCCGTCGCGACTGCAGTTGGAGATCCAGAGATTCTCCGACGTTTCTGATGTGCCTTCCCGCCTCCAGCTCTACGAGTTTATGGACATTGTGGCTCTCTGCGAGAAGACGGAGGTGGAGGACGAGCGAAGACTGTCCGAATTGAGCCTGTCCGGAATAACGGTGTCCGGTGAATCCGGGACAAGCCTGATAAACGAGCCTGAGAGCGTGGCCGACTTTGACCAGATCCTAATGACACGAGACGACAAAGTGAGGGCCTACTTGGAAGACGACTACCAACGAACACTACACGGCAAGAAGAGATCAACCGATGGTCAGTCTCCACCAGCCCCCGGCCTCATGAAGGACCACATTGTACACACCGACTCGAGAAAGTCACTAGTCTCTCTGGGAGACCGTCAGTTGAGAGCAGTGAGTCCCTGCCTTGAGGAGTCACAACATCAACTCCACGGCTCTCGCTGTGGCTTCCACACTCTTCCCAGCGATCACTTCCTCCTCTCACTGCAGGCTCGCCCCCAAAATCTCGACTATCCAATTCCCCATCCAAACACCATCACCGTCTCACTCCGCCACTATCACCAGTCGTGAAATCACACAGTTCCATACCAAAGCTCCATATTAGCAGTAGACTCAGAAGTAGGGATCCTCTCCTTACCCAGCAACATTCAGGAGAGGGTCCCAGACACTCAAAACCAGTCAGAGTCAGACTCAAGCACAAACCAAAAGCTATCAAACCTCTGTCCATCCATAAATCAAAAGGTGATACGGTGCCTACAAAAGAGAGCGAGAAACTGGAGGAAGAAATAAGTGACATCTGTGCAGACTCGGTTGTGAAAGCTAGGGAAACGCTTTGGTCATCTCTATCGGCTGTACCACCACCTCATCACCCCTCTCCAGAAAGTGGAGCCCCCAATGGACAAGCTAGTGCATCAGGTCAGAGAGCAGTTACTGTGCCAGCCATGGTGAGAAGACAGAGAATGTCTCGCGGTGGTCGAAGTAGTACCCACCACTACCACCTGCAACCGATTGTGTCTACCCGGGAGAGAGGGGACCAGCAGTTCCTCATTGACAGCTTGCTGTGGTCCTCACGACGATCCAAACAACACTATCAAGTCATAAACATTGAATAGCTTACCCATGCACTATAATAATAATTATATAAAACACGATGATGAAGTTTAGGCTAATGAACTTGCAGCTGTGTAACAAAAATGATGTCAACTGTTATAGCAGGGAAACAAAGTGTTTGTCTTGTTCACTGCAGGTTTAGATCGAACATCATTCAAATGCATCGATCAGTAGAAGGGTATATATAACCTGGCACAATGATATGGAAGAAGCAACTGCATAAGTAAAGCAAATGGTGAATACAGTACATCGTTCATATATAGCTCCATAATAGTCAATAGGTTCTATTTCCTGTGGAGTTTCTCTTGTTTCTGCAGTTTGAGAAGCATCTTTTGGACGTAGTACATGTCGTGGTCTCTGATCATGTTCTTCTCCATGACCAGCTCTGAGAACTCTGACTGAGCTGTCCAGAGGGCTCTGATGGGTCGACGTCTACAAACACCGCAACACCTGGGTGCATGGGGCAGGAGATTAAAATATTCACATGATCCGATCAAGCTCATAATATGGCACTATTCAAGCTCATAGTTTAACTCTATCTAGGACTTGTGGGGTGTTTCACAAGTCATGAAACTGTGATTAGGGTGTCCTGCACTCACTGACTGAATGTGTTCTCTACAAACACACACTTTGCTCTTAACGAAAGTTATGTAAAAATGTTTCTAAAGAGTGCAACGGTGCATAAAGGTTGTTGTTGAAGACATTTCCTTTACTTGACCCCAAACATTAAAAACGGCCTATAAACTTGCATATAGCAGCTGAGTGTCATACGTACCCTTCTGTGGGGGAGTCCCTGGTGATATGGATAATCTTCCCGGGGAGAAAGAGAGGCATTCTCTGTCTCACTTGCATGGCCTCTTTCCCCGTGACCCTATCATTCCTCTTCCCCGCCTTAACCCCCGCCACCTCGTCGTATATGTCCTCCACATTCTCATAGATATCCTCCACGTCCTCATAGATATCCTCCTGTGGAGAGTGGGAGATTACATTGACCTACATGTAGTCTCAGTGATTGTATATACACAGTTCAAAAAAACATTTTATATGAGAGAGGAAAGGTTCATTTAGACCACATTCCATAGCAAACTACATGTTGTACAACCGTAATAGAATCATATAGTTGGTAAGTGTGCATGCACGACTCAGCCCACCGGCTCCTTTTCTTCCCTTTCATGATTAACTAGCATGTTAGCTAACTACATAATATACTGCAGCAGTTAGCTACATTATCCAGGCATCGTGCAAACTGCCTGCATGCTACATGCAACGGTCAAAGAGCACCGAATCAAGTTTCCATTATTTAGTTGCTGCAACAGTTGAACTATGGTATATGCACCTCGAAGGAGTCACAATCAAAGTGTGTGTTGAGGAGAGGTTCCTTGAGGATGGCCATAGTAGAGACTGAGACCCTCCTGTTGCCAATCTTCCTCACCACTGACCCACACAGTCCCAGCCACTGGAGCCCACTCGACAGGAAGATACGGTACTGGAATTGTGGGTCAAGAAGAGAGAGAAGGGTTGTATATTATAGCCTCATTGTAGCTTATGTAGGGTACTTGACTATTCTTCAAAATCTTTGAGCCTCTTCGTTAGTTCCATTCCATTCAGACAGGATGAAAAAACAAGTTACAGCCCGTTTAGTCATGAATAGCGATCAATGATCAAACATTGACATGTCCCTGTCTATACCACATCGCACATGTTTGAAAAGAGTCTGTAATGCAGATGCTGAGCATGCAGCATGACATATCTCGCAGCAGCGACTGATAAACAGCGAAAATTTATTGCTCATCTTACTTTTGGAACGGCGCTGGTCTGAATGTTGTGCAGAATCCTCTCACTAAATGACTGCAAGTTTTGCAAACTCAGCCTGTGAGGCAAAAAGGTACAGTCAAGATAGAGAATAAGTGTGTGTGAGTTGTTGTGTAGCTAGCATACCTGGGAATGAAGTCATTTTCCACCACCACTGTCGTGATGTAGGATCGAGTCCTGGGAACCGCTGTCATACTGTACAACAAAATACAGCACCAGTATAATATGAGTGAGCACAACCATCTTTAGCCCCCCGGCTCTTTTACTCTTCCACAGAAGAGCATAGGGACAAGGCTAAAGCTATGCCACGCTACGTCTATGTAGCTGTCCTGGGTGTACGTTGACTTGTTTGCTTTGCCTTGCCTTTCTACCTCGATACCTTTGCTACACATACTCTCTTTGAAGACAGAGCATGCAGCTACTGTTAGTGCAGTCACAGTGAAGTAACGTGTAGTGGAAAGCAGGAAATTATAGAAAAACTGTCTCAATGCAGTGGCAAATCTTGTCCCACCAACAAAACACTAACAAAAGTATCGCACTTGATCCTCAAATTGTCACAAAAATAGGTTCAATACACCACGAGAATTACCAGAGTAGTCCACCAGGAGGGGAGTAGGCATAGCAGTGGAGGTTCTGGTGGTGTTTCTTGAGTAGTATGGCCAGGAGACTGGCCACCCCAGCCCCTAGAGAGTGGCCCACCAGAACCAACCCATAGTCCTGTAGTGTAAATGTAAGGCAAGTGAAACTAAAGAGCTACTCTGGGCAGAAGTATCTAAGAGAGTGGCCCAGTAGCGTAATATACAACAAGGATTAGCATATATACTGTATACATAGCTCAGATCCCACTTTTAAACAGAACCGCATCCCCCATTTTCCCATAACATAATACACACATGTGGCCCCATATTGAACTTGTTGTTATACTGAAGTATACGTAGTCAGTTACATGTATAAATACCTGGTTTTCTTGAAATGCTCTTTCCAGTATTTTCTCACTCTCCAGTTTGACTTGTACTGCATGAGCAGACGCTATCATCCCCTACAACACACACACAGCGTACACACAGACACATATTGGGTATATTTCATGGACATTACAGAACACAACCTTGTGTCCATAAAAGTGTCCAGCCTCTGATATGGCTAGTAGTGATGGCTGTGCACTCAGATCAGTCAGAGCATCCTGACAACGATAAATGTACAGTATAAGTGTTAAGAGCTCACTAGTGGACAAGTGCTGCCATGTACGTACCTTGATGCTGAAGGTACCCCTAATAACGACTACCACAGTCTTTTGAGAGTGATCCACCACCACATAGAATGCTGGACAAAAGACCTGTGGCCAGAGATTGTGGCAGCGATATATTTCCTTCCCGAAACAAAATTGAGCTGCCTTGTTGCCTATGTCCGTTATACGGATTTCATGTCTCGACAACTTGGTACGAGGTACATAGAAAGGCAAGGCAAGGCAAACAAGTCAACTACACCCAGGACATGACAACCTTTCGTAAGAAGCATTTAGCGTAAAGATGTGAATGGTATTACCTATGTACCTTCTACACAGAGTAATACAGAATAGGAGCAACTTCAGCTGATTGTGAGTGGTGCATAAAGGAGACTTACTTCACTGGCAAATGAGACAAAGACGATATCAGTGTCGGTAACTCTGGTGAGACGTTTGAGATTGTCCAGGTTCCACCCCAGTGGATCACCTCTTGCCTTCAACACCGTCTCTCCCTTCTTCTTACCTACACCACTGAATGATCCGGAATGAACAGATAGACAACCAATATCAAACTTTTATCACCTCTATAAAGAAATTCGTATCGGCAGGCAAAGTGAATTAAACCTATTGGCAGTTTTTATCGAAAACCATGAGTCACCTGAAACAGTTTGAAGTCAAAACCTTGTTCAAGGTGTTGTAGCTATACACTCACTTGAGAGAACAAGCCGCATTTGGAAAATGTAGGTTCTGAGTGTAAGGCTATAGATTCAAAATACGTCGCATATTGCCCTGTCGCGCCGTGCTGCGTCGTGCTGTGCCGCGAAGATAGAAATGGATTCTACCCTTGCAATGCGGCGCGGCGGAGCAATGCGACATATTGTGAACCTATGTAGCTTAACTCACCACATTCTGCCAAGGGACGTAGCTATGCCTCGTAGAGCATTGTTGTGGTAGTCAATCTTCCATCCATAGGCTGCAGTTGCATACCTGACGTAGTAGACCACTCTGTTGTACTGGGCACACACCGACTGGAGGAAAAGTGTATGTGTCCATACAGTAGGTTCCAAACATACAGTAGAAGTTCCAAAAATGTTCATGTTCAACAGTTTAATGCTGAGTATTTTTACTTTTCCTGCATGTATGTAGCAACGAGGATTGACACTCAGCATGTTAAATTATGAAGCATACAAGACTAAGGTTACGACATGTGGGTCTTCCATAGGAGATATTTACTGACTCTTGATAAAGAAGAAATAATGTGTGCATCACCTAAAATACGTGTGGTGTGTGTGTTTACTCACAGTGCTATGAAAGTCAAGTGGTGAATGGAGGTCTTTATGAAGAGGGTCTTCAACCTGTCAGAATAATTTTTATATAAATTTCAACAGAGAAAATGTTCATACAAATATCATGTACAAAGCTTTTGCATCCATCCAAACGAATGGATGACACCCAAATAGTCATGTTGTTTCGTGAAGAGTTCCTGGCTAAACTGTGGCACAATGCAAAAACTGGTCTGACTTACACTGTGCTCTGCCTTTTGTTCCATGGCCATGAGAGCAATCCCAGCTGCAACATCCGACGGTACGTAGCCCCTGAAGTAGGTGAAGGAATCCGCCATGACTGTCCCGATCTCCACATACACGTTCCGGTGTCCTTCCCCCGGTCTTATACAGCAACAGAGCCACTCCATTCTCCACTGCCACGCCCTGTCCCTACGTCTGTGCTTCGTCAACTCCTCGCTACTGAGTGCCAGTAGACCGTGGTTACTCACCGCACTCAGGTCTCGCCCGAGTCGTTTATGCCGGGCCGCGTCGCCAGACGGTGGCCCCACACACGGCAGGCGACAGACTGCGATTCGAACAAACACGTAGAGAGCCATTGCACTGCTGGTAAACAGGTTCCAGAAGAGGATCCCTCGAGCCAGAACCAGGATAGGGTGCGATTCTGGACAATCGATGGAGGGATCAAACGCCCACAGAACTCCGATAATGTCCCAGGCAAACTTCATGACGAATACTGTGGCCTCCACATAGAGGACAATATAGAGGTTTTTGCGGGGAGATGGATCGGCCATGGTCCCTCGGGCACTGATAAAGATGGCAGCGACTTCGATGAGGCACATGACAATGTGAACTGTGGTGAGGATGCACAGGTAGAACCTCAACAGCTTCTCATCCTCACACTTGTAGCTTCGGTCGTAGGTGTTTAGAACATAGCCAAACAAACAGAACCTGCAGCAAAATGACACTTGTGTAAGTGAAAAAAGTAAGTATAATCTTTTTACAAGCAGATGGGCAAGCTTTATGAAGCTTCTTAGTGACATGGAGGAGAAAAAGTTACCCCTGTAAGGTATACTGTACCAGATGAATCGGATGCAGAGTGAGATGATGTTGGGGAAGACAAGGTCGTCGCTGCCGATGCGCCACTTCCTACCAAACACTTCGAGCGCAGGCATGACAACCGGACTGTGATAGCTAGCTACTAATGGCCACGGTCAGCAGCTGCGGCCGCCTTGTTTGTCCAAAACAGCAGCGCAGTTCGTTGCCGTGACACGGCTGCCCTGGAAACAGCCGCGGGCCCTGCCCCAGGCTCAACTGTCTGCAATAATCGTCGTCTGACAGCTTCTCAACGTGCTGCTACCCTCGTGAACAGACCAGAGCCAGAGAGACATGGCCGAGGAGGCACCGAGGCAAGTTCAAGTAAGTTTGCCAGCAGCAGCGGGCTATATAGCTATATAGCTAGCGAGCCCAGCCCCCGCGCGCCAACTTTATGCGCATGCGCAATCCGCATGACGGATGGTCAGTGAGTGCATGTCAGTGCAGGCGCAGTGACTTAATTAAAAATAGGGTGGCCTAAACTCTTCAAGAGAGTGAAAAAATGCATGCAGTGCTTGGGAGTGACTGTTCGTACTTTTAGCAAGAAAGCTAAGGAAAGGACAGACTAAGTGACCATTCTAGTGGAACAGAATCCTTTTTAATGTGTTAATAATTATAGTTGTTTTTTCCCATGAGTGTCTTCGAACAAGAAATGAGCATGCTGGCTGTTTGTCCCCAGCATGGATAGGTATCGTAGGAGTCTGTGTGTCTCCTGTGTAATCCTTTGTGGTTCTTTTGTTTATATATATATACTGGCCCTGAACCTTCTTCTTTTTCCTGGCTTCAGTCCAATCTGCATCCTGTTTGTATTCACGTATAAAAGAAGCTGAGAGTATAGCAGTAGCTATAAAGTACAGTGCTCATTTGTTGCTACCACTGACAATGGCCAAGTGTTGTATCTTAGCAGTCTTATGTCTGGTGATAATTTCATGTGCTCAGCTTGGAGAGTCTCTATAGAGATGGTGCGTTCATACGTAGAGTCCCTTGCAATGCCACGGTATATACAGCTAATATTTGTTCATTTTTTGCACCTTGCAGTTGCAAGAGCCGTGTATTCGGCCCTACAGCCCACCTTGAATGACATAAAGGCTGACATTTCCTCTATGAGAAACGACATATCTTCCATGAAGGGTGAAATAGCTAAACCAAGCGAAAGAATAGATAGTCTTACTGCGGAAGTAGCATCCAGGAAAGAGGAACTTGATGAAACACAGGACTCAATGGATGACATTAAACAGTGTGATTGTAAGTGTGACGTCGATATATAACACAACAAAAGACTCGGAAATGACTGGTGAGAGTGGAAACTACACATGTGGAGGTACAAGTGGTTGGAGACGTGCAGTCTACTTAGACATGACAGACCCTAACACCTCATGTCCTTCTGGCTGGCAGCCCACTGGATACTCCAAGAGAACATGTGGCAGAGTTAACACTAGCAAGATTTCATGTGATCCTGCCCTTTTCCCTGTCAGGGGAGGGCCATACAGTCAGGTGTGCGGTAGGATCAGGGCCTATCAGTGGGGGCGGCCGGTCGCTTTCTGGTGGTTTGATCCCTTACTCCAACAATCAGTCACAATCGATGACGCTTACTTTAGTGGCGTGGCCGTAATGCACGGTAGTCCTCGGCAGCACATCTGGACATTTGCTGGTGGACCGTGGGAGAATCGTGGAATAGACTTCGACACCCTATGTCCCTGTGATACGACTGGTACCGTTAGCATTCAACCGTTTGTCGGAGAAGACTACTTCTGTGAGTCTGGTTTGCGTGTGGTCCGAGGATGATACACCAACACACTCAAACGATGCTCTCTGGGATGGTAGAGACTGCCACACCAGCAGCACGTGTTGCTCTCTCCACGATCCACCCTACTTCACAAAGGTCCTCGGCCAGCAAACTAGCGATGATCTTGAAGTAAGGATCTGTCTCCACTCTGATAAAAGCCAAAGTGATATAGCAGATGAAGTGGTTGAGTTATTTGTTAAGTAGTACAATATGACACAAAAAGGCCATTAGGCAAGTTTAAGAGAAGACTTTTGTGAATACACATTACAATCATGCTGCATTTTGTACACAAAAAATTATTGAAGCATTGGTGAGACCTTGATAGTAGAATAGTTGTACATGTATAATGCCTGAGAGCAGTGCACGGTCATACCTTTACTACGAGAATGCATCACAGGAAGTGTATTGGCCTTAGAAATTTACCACAGGTAACGCCAATTGTGTAACCCGAAAACTCCAACTTTCACTGTGGGAAAGACCACAAGCTCTGGGTTAGCTACCCTGAAGAAGTGAATAAGAGCTAGTGTGGGGACCTTGTGTGGGTAGAGCTAATCCCAATCAGCTAAACTTCTAACACTGCACGTGCTTGCCTTATAACAGCTAGTTGGAGAAAATGGGTTTAAAAAAAACACGAGTCAGGAAATTTTTTCTGGAGGATAGTGACTGTTCTTATTCTGATTGATGGTAACTGTTCTTTTCATTATGCACACCTAAATGTATGTACGTACCTGTCATAGCTTGAGACAGACTCAAAGAGAACTGTATAGCTAGCTACCATCTGGTGGGCTCTTTCATCATTGTCCAAATTCTCCTTCCTCTGGGTGATATAGCTAATGGGTAGTTTGGAAACCAGATATATTTCATGCCACACTGCAAGGTTATATACCCTCGTAAAACGACTTTCGTCACGCTTTCCACACGGAACAAAAATATTTGCGCATGCGCATACATCCACGCTCTTCGTGCGCTCTATCCCGGTTTTTCACCAGAGTCTGTACGACTGTTGCTGAAGTTGGAAAGTTGCGGGCATCATGGTGGTTGCAGTTCGTATTACTGTTGTTGTGTTAGTGCTCATTTCAGCCTTTGGAGCCAATGGTAACGAAGTTCAGACAACTAAGCGTGGTGTAGCTATAATAATAGCTAGACACACATTTTGCTTCTCTCAGCAACGCAATGTACTATCTGTTCGGAGAGTACCCCTCAGTGTGAACACTGCGGCTATTACAGCTGCTGTAGTGAAACATATTGCTGCTGCAGTGAAGAAGCAATGTAAGGATTACCTCATGTCAGACCGATTGCGACAGGGGAGTCATGTATTTGCAGCTACCATGATGATTAACTGCGTGCAGAAACGGTCAGTTATACTTTGTCAGGTTGTGTATATGAGCTTACTGCCATATATTCATGTGCAGTTGGCATAATTATAACAAAAAGCACTATTCTTTCACCCATATGCAGAGATTAGGCAGATTGCTCGGATAGGTGGGGGAGTTGCTGGTGGTATAGTAGGCCTTGTTATCATTGTGGGTATTTGTCTTACTATCTATCACTATGGGAAACGCTATCGTGGTCGGAGAGCTGAAAATGTCCCACTTCTGTCTACTGCTGACACTCCTCCAGTAAATTCTACTGTACAGCCAGTAAGTACTCTTCCTAATACGCACTCTGAATTTTATTCACGATGCTTTGCCTCAGAAAGGGGATGGGTCCAGTAAAGGTGGTCAGTTGCAGCCACCGCCATATCCTAATGTCCACCAATCTCATACATATCAATCCTTAGTTCACTGACAAGGAGAAAGAGAACAGAGACACTATACTGTTTATACTGGTATATACTTTTTGAGAGGTTTTGGTATTTCAATAACACGTGAATCAACAGAGGATGTGAGGAGAAAGCAGTTATTATAGCAAATTTTGCTTGCTTTCTACATACAACCATAGTGGCAATAATATACGTAGCTATATACCAACACGGAAGAGAGACTGTGTAGAAGCGAGATTCAGCTAGAGAGTATTAACTTGATATATAGGAAGACATACGACAAAACTTCACTAGTCGCCTGATCCAGTGCAATGTTCGTTGCTCCTCTAAATTAGCTATTATGCTGCTCATTCCGTGGTCACGTGCGCCTATACTTCAGCCATCGCACACTGCTTGTCAGCGCGCATTGTAATGGCGGAACTCCCGGCATGCGACGTTATAGAGAATGACGAGGTTCATCTGAAGAGCACATTGCTGCACACCGGACGGTACGCCACTGTGAGAGAGGCCGACATCGCTGGAGCGAAATGCGCAGCCAAAATCTTCAATTTCAGTGACGGTGAACGCTCTCCCAGCAGGCAAGATGACGTGGTCTGTGGATGCAAGGTATTAGACACACTACGACACCCGAACCTCGTGTCGTTCCTTGGGATTACCCAATCCCCTGACTCTGTACTCCCTGTCCTGCTCGTGGAGTATTTACCCACCTCCTTACACCGCTTCCTGTCACCAGCAAAGGCTGAGCAATCAATTCCACTAGGCTTGAAAATCTCCATCCTCCAAAACGTGGCTTGTGGCCTGGCGTACCTGCACATCCAGTCACCGCCAATCCTTCATGGTCACTTGTCTGCAAAGAAAGTCCTCCTTACTTCAGGAGCAGTGGCCAAGATATCGGTGGATGTAGGGGTCACCGTATTACCACAGCCTCTTCAAACATCGCCATACATGCCACCAGAAATCACAGGGGCACAGTCTCCATGCACAGCGGCTGTCGATATCTTCTCCTTTGGCGTTCTTTCCCTCTTTACCCTCACCCAGGACCCTCCAAACAACATCCTCCCGCAAACATACACAAATGAATCGAAACAGCTCATATGTCGCAGCGAAATTGAGCGTTGCTCCCAGAGCATGGAGAAAATCTTCCGTGAGCTTGGGAAGGAGCATCCTCTGGGGAAACTGATCACCAGTTGCCTCAATCAACAACTAGCCTCGCGACCAACTGCTGCCAATCTGGTGGAAACTCATTCTCTCTTGTGGCAGGCAGCAGTGTTGATCCCAGATCCATTCCAAGAGAAAACCAAGGTGGACCTGGTACACCACACCCACAACCTTGCATGTGCACACGTGAGAATGAGGAGAGAATTGGAGAGTCACGATTGTGAACAGAGGGACCAAATTAGGGGTTTATTACAGGGAATGGCCCGACAGAGAGAGATGCTGCCTACTGAGGATGGCGAGGAAGAAGATAAGGAGATGGTGAGCGAACAAGAGATTGCCTACATAGCAAACTTTGTGGAGGGGATCCAAGCTGACAAGCTCGGTCGAGAGCTCGGCGTGTGTGAATCTACACTTGAAATCATCAACTGCGAATCTGCCAACAGATGCGACGAGAACAGAAAAAGGGCAAACGTTCTGAGGCAGTGGCTCAGGAACACCAGTTCACCCACATGGGAAGCTCTGGTTAAGGCACTGGGTTCAATTGGCCAGAAAAGAGTTGCAGACATACTCAGGAATGATAAAGGTTTGAGTGCTAATTACTCAAATGTGCACTTGCAAGGCCTAGCATGAAACCAGGTTTTTACTAGAGCTTCTAGATTGCATTCCTCCCTTGCCCACTAACAGCCAGTATTCTTAGTCTGTCAGAGGACTATGTACACAGTGAAAGACATCTTATCAGTTCCCAGCAAAAACATGTGTTCAACTGGCCCTTTAGGTCTGCAGTACTGCACTACCATAACTGAGCGGGGGAGTGAACAGAGTCAAGCGGAACTGAGGAAGGTGGGCCAGTGTGTATGCATGACCTCATGCATTTGTTTTGGTTCCTCCACTCTTTCTCTAGTTCCTTGCACACACCATTTTTGAGGATAGACTAATGCTCTTGCTTCCATAATGCTTGAATGTTGTAGACTTAACCACAAAAGCTCAGTATAATATTATAGTTACGGGTCCAACCTTAATTATCTCGTGGCCTAAAAGAACATTAATTTTTACCCCAGCTTCACTTACTTCACTTACTTTATCCCACGTTCATTGGCTCTATAATTGTAGGTGGAGGCAAAGTCTGCAGATGACGGTAAGGCGGCAGCAGAGCTGAAATCCCAGCTGGAGAAGGCTAGAAAGAGTCTGGAAATAGCCCGGTCTAGTCTCTCCGAGGCCAACAGAGAGCTGGAGGAGGCCAACAAGAAATGCAACGAGCTTCAAGAGACAGTGTCCAACATTGAGAAAGAGATGAGGGGTCTCAGACACGAACTCAAAGGCGAAGAGCTATTCAGAAAGGAGTTGGCTGATGAGAACCTCCAACTAAAGCTCGAAGTGGAACGCTTGAAAAGAAAGTAGATAGAAACGGTTTGATTCATACTTCTTTATTATTATACATAGCAAATGTGTTTGTTATTAGTTCTTATAAATTCCACAACTCTTGTTGTATGAGATGTACTAAACAATTTGTTCAAGTCCAATATTCTAATGCATGCAGTTGTGTATCGTTACATAATCAGTTCAATACATACCTGCAGAAACAAACAGAGCATGTTAGCAGTATGTGACTGTAATACTGAGAAGCTTACTTTGTGACTGTAGCAGTCCTCCCCCTCTCCTTCCCAAACACCTACATCACATCACGGGGATAATAGTGAAGGGCTAAATTTATAACTGTTACTAAAAACAGAAACTTAATTGAATTCTTGTACTGGGCCCTATTGTTTTGTCTATCTTTCGTAACATTTACACCCTTCTAAGATTAGCTCTTGACGTACTGACACGTTCCCTTTAATGACTGACAATGCCCAGAGAGCGTGCAATGACCCACCAGTAGAACGATGGAGAAGTTTCTGATGATGGTGACGCTCTTCTTGTTTTTCACGGTGACCTGAACGTACCGCCCCTTGTTGGGGACACTCTCAAACAGAACCGTGCCATCTGGTGACTCCTTCAGATAGAAATCATTGTCCAAATTCTCCTCTCCCTATATATGTGGTGGTGGGTGACACAGTGAGTAACCCCCGTCAATTTTTGCTTTTGTGACTGCGACTCAACATAATTATCAGTTTTGATTGTTAGCATTGCTAGGGTTGCCTTACTCTGAGGTACATACAGACAGACAGACGGACTGATACATACCAACCAAGTAGCTACCATAATCCTCGCTGCATGCACATGTAAAATGACAACTCACTTACATACTATACAGAAAGGAGTAAGAATGGTGCATGAGGGGTTAACTGCCGTCTAGTACTTGCCTGGCAGATGAGGTTTCCGTTAAACCTCATCTTGAGTTTGAGGAGGGGAGGAGCATAGCTCTGCAGCGAGACTCTGCCCAGACCTCGATCACAGTACACCATGAAAGCTGCATAATATACACACAAAGTATAGCTCCGAAAGTATAAAATAAAACAGTGCAAAAATTTTTTTATGCTGCATGTGTCAACAACAAGGTAACGAGGTAGAAAGGCAAGGCAAAGCAAAAGTATACCACAAAAACGAAAACAGTGTCGCTATGGATTTGTTAAGTGACAAAAAGTGATTGTGTTTCTACGCGCTGAAGCGCAAAGCAAGCAAGTGACACGGTGCAAAAGTATTAGAGCTCCAGGTGGACTTACTCTTGTCGTTGTCAGCGTTTGTCGTTCCCACTACATCTCCATTGACCCTCAGACCGAGGTAGATGCCAGTAGCCTTGGAGTACAACTGAACAACACTCCTGTCCTTCAGCTGGTTCTGCAGCAGTCAGAGAAACAAGTCGTGTGTGTGCGTGCAGGCATATGGGTGTGTGTGTGCGCGTACGTGAAACTGTGATCTGTAGGTGTATAATAATTATGTAGAACTTACGACAATGGAAGGTCTCCGATGAGGGCACAAGATTTGTGTGGTGTAAGGTCCAACAAACCTCTGTAAGTGAGAACCAATGGAATCTCACGTAGCAATGTAGTGATATCAAACACCACGGTTTTCAGTATAATATACTTTGCAAAGGTATGCAGGTCTGCTGAAATCTCACCTGTATTCGTACTATAAAGTGGACATCGCTGAAGTCTGGTGGCATCTCTTGCACCAAGAGGTGAGCATTCTGGTCCACGGTCAGAAACGACTTGAGGAACTTGTGAGACTCAAAGGTGACCTTTGTGTCCTTGTACGGCCGAATTATGAACTCAAACGCAGGGTCCCCCACCTTATATGGTGTGTTCTAGACAAACAAGAGGATGTTGGTACTAAGATAAGAGTTTTAGAGTTAGATGCACACAAATCTCCATCACTGGCTCAGTGGATGCTATACTAGTGGTGGGGGATGCACCGCTGCGTTGTTTGTGCCATTATGCCCCTGAAATTCCAAATTGAGTTGCAAAACTCGGCAAAAGTACCCAATGAGGTATACACAAGGCAGCTTAACAAAAAGGTGATTGGGGGGGGGGCAATTGTCTACATTGGGAGTGCATGAAAGGTGACACTTGTTTGGCCTTTAGAGCTGTTAGCTGAGGGAGCAAACCTTGATAGACACGGCTCTGCGGTCGTCGACCATTAGCCTTCCTCTGTTGGGAATCCTCAGAGTCACTATAAACGGAGCTGCCACCTCTGACACCAGCCCACCTGTTCTCGTAATATATTAATGCATCAAAGAAATAATGTATAAAGCAGAATCTAGGAAGAAATGTGTGTAAGTATAACTCTTTCAGGAATTTTGTTTGTGAATGGCAAGTATGTACAGCCATTGAACCTTATCACTGT